CCCCCACTGTAACCGAGGGGTCTCCACGTTCCCACGGCAGTTACTGTCCAGGACTGGAAGCTTCTACCTGCTTAAGAACTAATGACTGATCTTTAACCCCTACAGGGAAGGTACAGGGAACAGAACATGGGGTGGGCTTGAGGGACTACCTTCTGCAGATAGAAGAGGGGTGCAGGGGGTCCTTTTGAAAATATCTGAGAAGGGAATGTGGAGGAATAGGCCAGGCAGCGGCCAGATGGACTAAGGGCTCCCAGGCTGGGGCATGGCAAGGCGGCAGGAACTGGTGGGTGCCTGCCGAAGGCCTGGGTCTCAGCACCTTCCCAGACCTGACAGTTTGCGCCCACCTGGCGCAGCTCTGCCTGGCTGCCCTGGTGGAGGCCCAGTGCCCTAGATAAGCATCGGGACAGCAGTGAGAGCAAAGGTCCCAGCCAGCCTTTTCCTGCCCGGCACCACAGAGAGTACTTCCTATCGTGTACCTGGGCAACCCTGCTTCCGGGAGCCGGAAAGGCCCTGGTGCAGCCAGCCCTCCAGCTGCTCAGCGTGGAGCTGGGGAGTGAGGAGGGAGAAAGGCTTTTTGTAGGAGAGACACTGACTTGGGGCCGTGAGGAGCCTTGGGAGGAGCCAAGCCTATGGGAAATGGTAGCAGGGACGTTTGGAAGACGAGCGTCAGGGTTGGGCTGGGGCCAGGTCATAAAAAGCCCCAAACGCCAGGCTCTGGCTTGGGAGTCAGACAGACTACGTTCGCACCTCAGCTCCAGCACTCCTAGCTGTGTGAGCCTGAGCGAATGATTTCACCTTTCGGAGCCACAGTCCCCTTGTCTACAAGGTGGAGGTAATCACCGTATCTTCCTCAAGTGACCGTGGTCAGACTTCCCTGAGAGAGGGGCAGAGAACTGTCAGCACAGCATCTGCCTCAGTAAGCGTCTGGGATCATTCAGAGAGTGCAGAGCTGACCCTAAAGAAAATGGTGTTTTGAGCAAAGGAGAAACCATCAGTTTAGGAAAGAGAATGAAGACCAGGAACCCACTGATGACCTCATTCATTTACTGAACAAATAACTATTCATACCGCCAATTCTGAGGCAGCCTCTCGGATCCAAAGTCGGATAAAACAGGAAACCCGTGGCCTGGCCCGGCAGTCAGTCTAGTTCGGCAGGTGCTAGAGTAGAGGTTTGCACAGGAGGAGCTCTTGGGAGGGCGGGTGTTGAGGGGAAGGCGTCCCCAGGAGGAAGCTGGGATCGAGGGATGACTGGGAGCTTGGTGGTGGCTGATGGGGAAAGAGCAACCTGGTGGGAGGACCCAGAGTCAAAGCAAGTCTAGGAATCACAGGATGGAGACTGGGAGGCAGGTGAGGGGAGTTGCAGGAATCTATCTGATAAGAAACAATGAGGGGTAAGAATTCAGTGGGGTGGAGAAGAGGGAGCTTAGAGCTCTACGAGGGAGGCAAATGCAGTGGAACTTGGTGACTGAATGGCTATGCGGGGGTGGGGCAGGAAGGGTCCCACTTGGGTAACGGGGACCAGTCACGGAGAATGCAGAAGGAAGAAGAGATCGGGGAAATGCAAATGCAGCTTGGGAAGCCGAGTTGGAGGTGTCTGTGGGACACCCAGGGAGACACCGCAGTCCAGGAGACACACGGTGCCTGAGTCCAGCGCTCAGTGAGAGCTGGGCTGGACTCGGTTTTCGGAGTCATTGGTAGAGAAAAGACAAGGGGTGAAAGAGGCTGCACGCAGAATCCTAACTGGATTCCAAATGGCAAGAAGGGCAAGCCAGGCAAAGGTGAACAAGAACGCTGCGGGCCAGAGCACGTAGGGGCGCACAAGAGAGACCCCAGGAGCCAGGTGCATGGAGCTCTGCACACAGACCCCAGGGGGCGGGTTTTGTTCTAAGGGCGTAAGAAGTCGTTGGAAGGTCTGGAAGAGGGGAGAGATGTGTTCTAATATGTTTTTGAAAGTTCATTCTGGAGAACGGATTGTTGGGGGGCAAGAGTAGAAGCAGGGAGGCTGAAAGGGGTGCTATGAGGTTATCCAGACAGTGGCCTGGAGTGGAATGAGAGGAGGCGAAGGCCCGTGGATAGAGTGGGGTGTGTTTGTGGGAGAGTCCACGGTGCTTGTTGGTGACTGCATGTGGGGCATGACACATGGGAAGAATAAACGGGGGCTCCTAGGTCTTCAGTTTGAGAAATGGGGTGTATATCATGATGCCATGTCCCAGGATGGAGGCGACCTGAGTGGAGAGCAGGTTTCTGAGGAAAATCGAGTCCCTTTCTGGTCGTATAAGTTTGAGATGCTTGTGGGATATCCAAGTGGAGAGAGAGATCAGGTGGCACCAGTGCCCCAGGCGTCCTCTGTCACTGTCCCAGCGATGCCAGGCCAGTCCACCAGAGGCCCAGGCCATGATTCAGCCCCACCCCACTTCCAGGAGGGCGGTCCGATAGAGGCTGTGGTCTCTTAAGAAAACATTTGGTCACTTTTGCACATTGTCGTCTCCTTTCCGTGGACCTCCCTTCCCACTCTACTATCTTCTTTTCTTGGATCCCTTCTCCTTGCTCCGGTGCTAGCTCAGAGGTCACCTCCTCCAGGAAGCTGCCCTGACTTCCCACCTGTCAAGGCTTAGGTGCCACTCTCCAAGCTGCCCTCGTAGCATCTTATGTTTATATGAATTACAGCCTTTGCTGCGCTGTGTTCCACTCATCTGTTTGCTGCTGTCACCTGACCTTTTCCCTCCCCTCGGGGACTCACATATTCCTGACTCACTCCCTGAAGACAGGCCCTCTGAACCCTGACCTAGCACAATGCTTGATTCTGAGCGTGTGCCCATCAATACAGGTGGAATGCATGAATGAACAGAAACGAGTGAACACCCTGATGCATAAACTTATTCCATGCTGAAGATTATCTCCTCTGAACAGAATCCCAGAAGCTGAAGTTGTTGGATTAAAGGGGATGAAGACTGAAAGCGTCCATCCCCATAGCTAAGGAGCTTTCCACAAGAGCTGCAAGTGCGAGAGAGCCCATCTCACTGTGTTCTTGCAGCATGGCTGTTTTCTTTATTTTAATTTTTAAAAATACGTATTTTAATTGATTTCAGAGAGGAAAGGAGAGGGAAAAAGAGATAGAAACATCAATGATGAGAGAGAATCATTGATGGGCTGCCTCCTGCACACCCCACACTGGGGATTGAGCCAGCAACCCGGGCATGTGCCCTGACTGGGAATCGAACCATGACCTCCTGGTTCACAGGTTGATGCTCAACCCCTGAGCCACGGCAGCAGGCTTCTTTCTTTTCTACATGAGCTCATTTTATAGGCAAATTAGAACCACCTTGTCCTAATTTGCATGTCTTTGATTACGAGTGAGGGTGAGCATTCTTCCATGATTGACTACTAAATGCATTTCTTCTTTGAGGATTTACCTGGCCATGTGCTGTGGAACTGGTAAGGCAGGTGGTGTTCTGTGAGATGTTTGGGGGCCGTGTGGGGACTGACGAAGCACGGAGCTGCCGCTGGAATGCTCCTGGTGAGGGGTGAGCAGGCAGGGCCACTGAGGGGCTGGAGGAAGAGCAGGCGCAGAGGAGGTACACTAACACTATTATTAACTCTCTATCCAGGAATAATAATAGTAGCTACAGCTTACTGAGCCACTCGTATGTGTGAGCCTTGTTCTCTTCACTTAGCACGTGATAACTCAGTAACCATGACAACCCTCTGAGGCAGGTATTCTTATCCCCAGTTTACAGATGAGGAGACTAAAGTGTGGACACCCAAAGCCTTGCCCTTGCTCAGGCAGCTAAAACGCGGTGGAGCTGGGATTCGAACCGCAAGGGTGTGGACCCAGTGTCTCTGCTTCTCACCATAGGGTCCAGCCTCTCCAGAGACAGGGGCACACATCAGAGAAGCAGGGAGCTGGACAAGACCCCCAGAAGGAGCTTATTAAGATTCTCAACTCTTGGCCCCCTTCCTAGAAAACAACAGCCACGGGCAAATCCCAGCCCACCTCTTCTGAGCCGGGAACAGGGCTGCTGAGTTCTGCTGGAGGAGCCAGCCCCGTGACTGGAGTCACGACAGACGCCTGGTCCCTGACCACAGCTGCCCTCCATGCAGCCCGGCGACTCTTCCCCAAGCCCCACGTAGCTCTCGCCTCCCAGCCACAGTCACAAACTTCCCTGCTTCCCCTCCCAGACTCTCGCCCATCCAAGGTCAGTCCCAGCCCCTTCCCAGACTAAACACCCCACACCTAATGTTAGCATCCCCCCAACCTGCCCGAGGCCGTGCCCCCCCCCCCCCCACACACACACAGCACTACTGGCAAAAGCAAAGGATATACATCTAAATGCTCACGAGAAGGGACCTGGTCAGGTAGGTTATGCTATTGCCCATCAATGGAAAGAAGGGTGAGGAAGCGATTCAAGTACTGAGATGGAGTAACCTCAAAGACATTGTCAGTGGAGAATGCAAGATGCAGAATTATCTATTGTGCTACCACCTGTGGGGAGGAAGAAAGAGGAGGAGATGAAAACCATTCCAGGGTAAAAAAAAAAAAGAAAGAAAAAAAAGAAAAGAAAAAGAAAGGGGGAGGAGCGGGGCGGGTGGAGAATCTGCTACCGTATTCACCACGCTGCCCGCCTGGGCACAGCCTCTTTCTGGAAAGACACACCGGAAACTGGCGACACTGGCTGCCTCCACGCAGAGGAGCTGGGTGTCTGGGAACAGGCAGGACCTTGCACTGTGTATACTCGTGTATCTTTGAATACACATGTGAAGATACTCGTGTTATTAATAATAACAATAATGAAACATTAAGTTGCACAGATGGTTTCTCATACGTGTGTGCAGAGCTCTGTGTGCAGATAAACATAAACACACGTGTAAATCGTGTGCTGCCGACGCCCCTCCCCCTCCCCAGGGCCCGGAAGAGGACCTTCTGGTGGCTGATCCTGCTGGCAGTCAGCTTCTCAGGGCTGCTCCTGTACGGGCTCCCTGTCAGGTACAGCCTCCTCTCCCCAGCGCTCCAGGCGGGCCCTCCGGGACAGGACTCAAGTGGGTTTTTCCAAGCATCCCCTGAGGGCTGGCGGGGGTGACCATCCCAGCCCACTCCAGTGCCCTGTGGCTCTCCCTCCCTGTAAGGAGCAGGGCTGCTGAGCCGGCTGGCGTGCCCCTCATTGCTGCCCCCGCCCAACAGGTACCTGGAAACCTTCATCCCCATGGGCACCTGCCCTTTGGCCAGAATGCCCCTGCTGAGAGACAACTTCACAGGTCTCCTGCATCTCTGGTAAGGAGACACAGTGCCTCCCCCTCTGAGATTTCCCATGGTGCCCTGCAGTATGTGCCCCAGCATCCCTGCCCTCCTACCCCCTACCCTGGCAGAGCCAGGCTCTCCACCCAAGGGCCCAGCGGGTTGCACATCTCTGGATCTTCCATTTGTGTTGGTTCTGGGCCAGGGACTGGGTATGCCCCACCTGGGGGTCCCTAGGGCCCAGCATGGGGAGATGGCAGTGAGCATCACCAAGTGGGTGGACAAATGGACCCCATCTCCCATCCCTGCTCTGGCCAGGGCCCGGCCTGAAGTCCTGACCTGTACCTCCTGGGGGGCCCCCATTATTTGGGATGGCACTTTCGATCCAGATGTGGCCCAGCAAGAGGCTATACAGCAGAACCTCACCATTGGGCTGACTGTCTTTGCTGTAGGCAGGTAAGGCCTGGGGAGGGGAGCAGGGCTGTCAATCAGGGAGGGTGGGGGTGTGTGCATGTGATATGGGTGGTGGGTCTCCCTGTTCCCTGTGCCAGAGGATCCCAAGGTGATGCCGAAGGCAAAGACAGCACCCCCATCCCATTAATCCCCTTCCTGTCCTTCCCGGACACTAACACTGTGCAGCCCACCCAGCACAGGCAGCCAGGGGCTCAACGCCATGTCCTGTGAAGAACCTGCCAGGGGGCTGGTTGTCCATTTGGAGGCACTGGGTTTGTAGTAAGAACATGATGATGTGAGAATGGTGAGACGAGGGGAGAGCAGATGGGTGAACAGAGGAAATGGCGTGGCTGCAGCAAGTGGCCACTGGAGTCAGTGGCTGAGATGCAGGCACGGGACAAGGGGAGGGCGGAGGCTTGCCAAGCAAGCCTGATGGAGGGAAAGGGGCTGGCGAGCTGAGGGTTTCTGCAAGGGAGTGAAGAGAGGAGGGGGATGCTGAGAAAGGGGTTCAAACCTGAGCATCAGTGGGGTGGGACTGCTGGGGGAGGGGGATCACAGGAAGTGGGCCGGAAGGATGGGGGGATCACAGAGTAGGACAGACTGATGATGACCAGGCGAAGGGAGTAGACATGGGGATAGGTGACTGAGGAGGGTAGAGGACAGAATCACTGTAGGAGAGGAGTCTGAGGTATGGAGGAGCCGAGTGGGAGGTGGAGCAGAAATCCCAGGGGCACTGACACCCCCATTATGGATGGCAGCTGTCCAAGCGGGGTGCCCACTCTCCAGATGCAAAGGGGACAACTGGATGTAACCCTAAGTAGGTACCCGGAGGTAGAGTTCAGGGCAGTTAAAGGAAGCATTTGTACTAATGAAACAGACTGCTTTGGGAAGGCAGTGAGAGTTTGGCATCCAGGAAGAGAATGGGGGGAAGGAATTCTATTATCAAATACCCCAGAACTCTGACCTCCACAATCCAGAAGGGAGAGAAAGCCAAGACGGTGCCTGGGAGTTAGGGGGCAAACAGGACTAAAGGCTGACCCATCGGCCAGGTGGGCAGAACCTTGTGCTCCCACTTCTATTCTGGATACTGAGTAGGGTGTTCTTGCACCAGCCGTAGGGGGCAGAATCTTGGGGTCCAGAAATTCCAGGTCTTGAGGCCCTGAATTCCAAGGTTTTGTGAGTCTAACGCCCTGGGAGGCTGAGGTTTCCTTCCAGTTCCTCACAGACCTACCAGGAATAGAGCAAGTGCAGGTAAAAGCTCTGGCCCGAATGCCAAGCTGGGTTCAGATCATAGCTCTGCAACTTACCACCTGTGTGTATGCTTGCACCAGGCATGAAAGCTCTTTGTGGCTCATTTTCCTCATCTGAAAAATAGAGATAATAATAAATGGTGAGGATTAAATGCTCGACTTAGAACACTGTCTGCCACATAAATGTTCAAAAATATTAGGCATTATTACTATTATTTCAGAACCCTGGGATCCCAAAATCTTTTAATACAAAGTCTCTAATATTACAAATGTTCTGATAAGGAATTACCACAAACTCAGGGAGTTAAGACAACAATTATTTATCACTAGAGGCCCGGTGCACAAAATTCGTGCACGGGGTGGGGGGGGTGGGGGTCCCTCAGCCCATCCTGCACACTCTCGCAGTCTGGGAGCTCTTGGGGGATATCTGACTGATGGCTAAGCTGGCAGTTGGACATCCTTAGTGCTGCTACAGAGGCCGGAGAGGCTCCCACCATGGCCGCTGCGCTGGCCAGCAGTAAACCCGTCTTCTGGCTGAGTGGCACTCCCGGTATGGGAGTGCACTGACCACCAGAGGGCAGCTCCTGCATTGAGCGTCTGCCCCCTGGTAGTCAGTGCACATCATAGCGACCAGTTGTTCTGCTATTCAGTCGATTTGCATATTAGCCTTTTATCATATAGGAAAGGATTCTAGCTAGTGATTTTGTGGGCCAGGAATTCCAACAGGGCTCCACAGGAAGTGTCCCATTGCCCCCCAATGTCTGGGTCTCTCCTGGGATAGCCCACTGCTAAAGACTGGTGGGGCACCTCTCTCCACACTGCCTCTCTGCATGGCTGGTTTGGGCTTCCTCACATCAATGCAACATCCAAATGTGGAACTTATTAAAGAAAGGCCCAGAGCTCTAAAGAGACAAAGGCTAACACAGTCAGTCCTTTGAAGGCCAGCGCAGCACAACTTCCTTGGTACGGCGGTCAGGGACAGTCCGTGTTCAAGGGAAGGAAGACAGGGCCCCTCGGGGCATGAGTGGCAAACAATCTGCTATCGCCTTGAATGGCTTGCAGGATCAGGAGCTCCAGGGACTGAGGTTGCAAGTTAACAAGGACCTGAATGCGGAGGAGCAGGAAAGCTCGAGTCGAGGGGAGGGGAGAGGACAGCGGGCGAGGGGATAAGGAGGAGGGTCAAGGCCATGCAGGTACCCCACCCCCACCCCTTGCAGGTACCTGGAGAAGTACCTGGCGCGCTTTCTGGAGACAGCAGAGCAGTACTTCATGGTGGGCCAGCGCGTGGTCTACTACGTGTTCACGGAGCGCCCGGCTGCCGTGCCCCGCCTGCCGCTGGGCCCGGGCCGCCAGCTGCGTGTGGAGCGTGTGCTGCGCGAGCGGCGCTGGCAGGACGTGTCGATGGAGCGCATGGGCACGCTGCACGCGGCGCTGGGCGGCCGGCTGGGCCGCGAGGCGCACTTCGTGTTCTGCCTGGACGTGGACCAGTACTTCAGTGGCGCCTTTGGGCCCGAGACGCTGGCCGACTCGGTGGCGCAGCTGCACGCCTGGCACTACCACTGGCCGCGGAGGCTGCTGCCGTACGAGAGCGACCCGCGCTCGGCCGCAGCGCTGGCGCCGGGGGAGGGCGACTTCTACTACCACGCGGCGCTGTTCGGGGGCAGCGTGGCGGCGCTGCGCCGGCTGACGGCTCACTGCATGCGGGGCCAGCGGCAGGACCGCGCGCTCGGCCTCGAGGCACGCTGGCACGATGAGAGCCACCTCAACAAGTTCTTCTGGCTGCACAAGCCCGCCAAGGTGCTGTCGCCCGAGTTCTGCTGGTGCCCGGAGTTAGGCCAGCGCGCCGAGATCCGCCGCCCGCGCCTGCTCTGGGCGCCCAAGGAGTACACGCTGGTGCGCGACTAGGCGCCAGGACCAGGCCTTGTGCGCCGCTCAGGACATTTGGGCACCGGGAAGATGCGCAGTGAGCGGAATCGCAAGGAGAGACCCTGAAGCCATCAGGTCCCTTCTGGAAGCAGCATGGCACTCTGGAGGACAGGGAGAGGTGGGCTGAAAGCAGCCCTGCCACCTTCTACAGGTGCCCAGCCAAGAGGCGGGGGCGCCCTGCCTTCGAGAGTGTTTTGCGCTGGTCCCCGCCTGCGCGCAGACAATGTTGTGGTTGGACCTGCGCACGTGGTTCTTCAGCGAAGGCCATCAGGACGCTGAAGGGAATGACTCACAGGTCCTGGAAGCTACACCGCACACCTGGAGCCACACAGCAAGGTCTCAGGTAGAGAGAGGCAGGCCCGGGGTCCCGTTTATTGGGGTCGAGAGTGGGGTCCTAGGGTTTCGTGGACTCACTCTGTTGGTGAATTCAACCTACAAGAACGGGGATGTAAAGCTCTGGAAGAGAAAAAGAAAGGGGTCCTGAAAGGACAGAACGGGACTGATAGCTGTGTCCCTAACTCCTCTTCCAAGAAAAAGCCACAGAATGTATCAGTTACTCAGCCTGCCCTTATCTCAGCCAATGGGAAGGCAAGGGACACAAACCCAAGGCCAAAAGTATGCTGACCACTCCCCTGTCTTTGTGTAACCAGACCCTAGCTGCACCCTGCCCTTGCGTCACTAGCCCCCGGCCCTCACTCAACCAACCAGAATCAGCCAAATCAGTAGTCTGAGTGTGCCCCCACCCCCCCCCCCCACCCCACCCCAAGCCCTGTAAATTCTTTGTTCTCTTGGGACTTGGGGCTCTCTCGCATCCTGCCGCTGCGCCGGTAAAGGAGGCACAGGGACCAAGCCCGGGCTTGAATAAAGGCTGTTTGCTTTTGCATTGGACTCGGCTCCCTAGTGGTCTGTCTTTGGGGATCTTGAAATCTGGGCATAACATTTGGGGGCCCGCCTGGGATCCCCAAGACCCACAAGGGACCTCGATCTGGAGAGTCTGACTGACTGCGGTAAGTGTCTGTGTGTTGTCTGTTCTGTTCTGTGTGTTGTGTGTTCTGTCCTGTGTTGTTGTGTGTTCTGTCCTGTGTGAGCTCATTTCTAAAATTCTGTAGTGCCCGAAGCAGTCTAGGTGGACGCACTGCTGAAGGACCACGGGCGGGGAGAGTCGGAAGACATTCCAATCTTCCTTCAGGAGGGACGTGGAATCCCCTCACTTCAGGAGGGACGAGGAATCCCCTCACTAGGATTTGAGATGAGGCGGGTCGCTCCCGCCGTTTGGTTTTGTTTCTGCGGAATCGGAAGTCTGGGGTTTTTTGTGGTTTTTTTTTGGGGGGGGGGGCTTTTTGTTTGTCTGTTTCTGTATTTTTCTGTTTTATTCTGTGGACTTACTGGATGGACATTACGGGGCAGACTCAAACTACTCCTTCAAGTATTATGATTGATCATTTCAAAGAGATTAGGGGAGGCTATAGAGCTCCCTCAGGAATTGGAAAATTGTTAGGAATTGGATGGATTATTTAAACTCTGAATGAATGTCTGTTGAAAGTGTGTGAGTGTGGAGGGAGGAGGCCTGCCCTCTCCTCTCTTTTGTGTGGCTCCACAACTTCGGTTACAGAGTCCGAGTGGGCCCCAACCTGTTGTTCCACGATTTGTCATATGGCATAATGGTGACTCACCCCCACGTGGAGGTGACCAGGCCCAGGGTTTATACGGGTGCACCTTAGCTAAGATGAATCTAAGCTCCCAAGGGACGCGGCCAGGAGGGCATCTGAGTGAGGATCTGTGAAAACAGGTCACCCCCTCCCTTGTCTGTCTCTCATCACCGATCATCACGGGGTTGGGACAAAATAAACCTACTGTTCTTAATTACATGTTAGAAAAATTTAAAGGGATAAGTTCTAGGTTAAAATGAAGGCTGGCTAGGTTCCAAGCTTGCTTAGTTCTGAGATTTCTTATAAAAAAGCAAGAGAGAAGTCTTTTTGAGTTGTTTGTTTAGCAAATTAACAAAGTAGTAAATTTCAAAGAACTTGTTATTTATGGTTTTCTTATCTCTTTGGTGGACACAAAGGGCTTACAGCTCCGCAGGGAGGAGAGATTTACTGGCCCTAACCCTGCCTGTGACGTGTTTTGTTTGACTTGCTGTTTTCAATTATTTATTAGAATCCTCATAGAGGACATAACCTGGTCTTTCCCTTCCTCCCTCATCCTGATTCTGAAAGCATCTGTAACTGGATTTCAGATGGTCTCCAGGCTTTCTGTCTGCAAAAAACCTCCCTATGCACCCGTTATCTTTCCAGGCCAACTGAGAGTCATGTTTCCCCACAGGTCGGACCCCAGCCTCCGGGAGGGAGGGCTACTTTAGGAGCAGTCTGTGGTTTTCTTCAAAACTCCCATTGTTTAAAGGGAGACAAACAACTGGACTGGGGGACAGGGAAATTGGTCGGAGAGAGATCAAGAGTAAAGAAAAAAGAAAAAGAAAAAAACCTGTGAGGGAAAGCAACTGGCCTGGGCTGAGACAAAGAAGGGGGGGTGTTAGCAGTTATGTTACTGGCTGCAGACCGCTAGCAGGTGTCTTATCAACAAACTTCAAGGTCAAAAGTTTTTTGTGAGCACCAATGCTGAATGTTCACTTTTGGTAATCATTAAAAGATTAAGGTTTCTAAGAATAAAGAATTCTAATACGTAAAAAACAACTAAACTCCCAAGAGAAAAGCGGAGGAGAAACAGAGCTGAAGTCTGCAGCCACCCTGGTGATTTATAACTGTTTGCTAGGCAGACTCAGCCCCTGAGAGCCAGCTCAAAGAAGGGAGGCTGGATGCCTGAGCTGCCCACTGCGGCCCTGAAAGAAGAAGCAACAGCAAGAGAAGTAGGGAAAGCTGCGGATAGAGCTAGCGAAAGCTCTCTGTTTGCAAATGTACTGAAAGGGTTCAGTACCTATTGCTGCTGTTACAGGAGGGGCTGATATCCCCTTCCAGTGCACTCCCTTGGAAGAGGCCTGATTGCTGCTCTGCCACAAAAGGAACTGGTGGGAAGGCAGAAAAAGCGAGGCCCTGTAACTGATAAACAGGGTTAACAAAAGCACTCTCCCTGGACCCGGGAGCCATCAGGACTTTGAAATTCTCCAAGAGAGGAGGAGTCTGACTCAGAGACTGGCCGAAACCTCGTTGGGTTAGGAGAACCGGAGGTTGCATATTGAACTTATAGACTGCAGTTTGCTGGGAAGAGGTCCAAGCCCAGTTGTATAGGGGTTAAGCTACTTGTGTACAGCAAAACAACTTTCTCCTGTGCCAGAATACATTTTAAGGAAATTGGACAGACTGTGTTTATCACTAGAAAGAAGACTGGCTGCAGTGCACAGCCCTGACAGTGACCTGCAGAAAACTGTATGATAAACTTAAATGATGCCTGCATCTTCATGGACATGGCTCCAGAGAGACAAGGACAATTTTGCCTTATAAAGGCAAGGTCAAGAGTAGACTTTAGTCACCTCCCTAAGATGTTTGTATAGCCCTACCATATGACATGTTTAGTAGCAGAAGATTTAGCTGCCTAAAGCGGCCATGGTGCCAATATTATGTTTCATTGTATTAATATGTTGTATTAACCTTCAATTCTCTTACAGGTTTAAATGTAGCTGAAGCTGCCGGTAGTTGCTGTGGACCAGTGATGGTCTACAGTGCTTGGCAGTCTTTGGAAATAACTGACAAGTGTCCAGATTCCCACACTGAAGGCCATTGTTGTGGCTATATGTTAGCTGTCCTGAAAGGAGGCTATGTGGGGTGAACCCCAAAAGTAAAGGGTGCCTAGCTGCCAAGAGGGCAGGTGCCCAACTGGGCAAAGAAGAATACCCATCAGGTTTTGGTCTCTATTGAGAGGCAGTTGACAGTTGGCAGCCTGTATACTGTCATGCAGGCCTGCATGACCATGCCCATGTGAGGGGTGGTACAAACCTCAACTGTAGAAACTTGGGAAAGGTCTGTTTGGAATAGAAGGTCTGAGGCATGGTTATGCATTTTTAAAGGACATGGAGGGAAGGTTTAAAGGCTGGTTTGAAAGTGTGAAATTTAGAAAGGTTGTGTATGTGATAAGGAGGAGAAGAGAAATGTTAAAAGGAAATTAATCAAATAGTACAGGCCAGTAAGCCAGAGAGAGTAAATAATTTACATTCTGCCTCCCTAAACAGAGGGTAAATAGTTATGCCAAAGTACTTAGGGGGAACTGATAAAAGAAATCCAACAGTTACTGTTTTGTTGTAACTCTGAAGAATCCATGAAAAGGAACTGGCAAGGAAAATTAGAAAATCTTAGAGCAGATAAGTATGTTTTTCTCCTTATATAATTCCTCTGAAATTTGGCAATGCTTAATAAATATGGCAATACATTTCTTTGCATAAATTCAAAAAGACTGGTTCCTAATAGTGGTTTTATTAATGGAAAACTTTGACTGGAGTATCATGTTTTAAAGAAACCTGTCTAGACTCTGAAGACTTGAAGCCAATAAGAGTGCCATGGGAAAAGCCTGGTATCCTGCTTGGGAGCCCTGAAGATGGCTGGCACTGGAGCGTCAGGCCCATGACCTACCATCACTGGCAGTTGGTCAGAGTAGAAGGGGAGCAATAAGGATGCCTCTGCATCCCTGCGGAACCCCCACACACTCTGGGCCGCAATGAGTAGGAGTGCTACTGAGATGGGCCTTAAAGCCTAGAGTGTGGGCTCAGGTGGAATTGCTACAGGTGAGGGATTCACCTAACTCAGCAGATACTGCAGGCAGCTGGATGGCTTGGCTTCCTGGCCCTACAGGGCACATTAAGATTCAATCATGAAATTCCAGCAAAGGTAGTCAGTTACCATTCTTGTGTTTATGCAAACATCAGGCCAAATTGAATACAGTAGATAAATTAGTCTTGATTTGGTTTTTTTGATAACCATAGAGGAATTTTAAGAAGAAAAATCCTATTTCAATAGAAGTTGTTAAAGCTAAAATGGTTTCTTTCCCTTCCACCGGACCATTTGTTATAGTTTGTCTCTGCCAGGTCACAAGCCCAGCTCCTTCTGTATCCAGAACAGCAGGGAGCCTGAGTGGAAGGTGACCTCTAACCAGACACACCCGCTACAGATCACCCTCAAGAAGACAGCGGACCTCGCCAGACCCCTTGTAATCCTCCTAATGCTGTTGACTTTCGGCCCTTGCATTATTAACAGACTAGTCCAATTTGTCAAGAAGCGTATAGGGGTAGTTCAGTTGATAGTTCTGCATGCCCAGTACAGGCCTCTAGCAACGGTGAAATAGAAATGCAGTCCATCTCATGATTGAGCCGGAAGTTCCAAGACAAGGGTGTCCTGAAAGGACAGAACGGGACTGATAGCTGTCCCTAACTCCTCTTCCAAGAAAAAGCCACAGAATGTATCAGTTACTCAGCCTGTCTTTATCTCAGCCAATGGGAATGCAAGGGAAACAAACCCAAGGCCAAAAGTATGTTGACCACCCCCCTGTCTTTGTGTAACCAGACCCTAGCTGCAACCTGCCCTTGGGTCACTAGCCCCTGGCCCTCACTCAACAACCAGAATCGGCCAAATCAGTAGTCTGAGTGTGCCCCCACCCCAAGCCCTATAAATTCTTTGTTCTCTTGGGACTTGGGGCTCTCTCGCATCCTGCCGCTGCACCGGTAAAGGAGGCAGAGGGACCAAGCCCAGGCTTGAATAAAGGCTCTTTGCTTTTGCATTGGACTCGGCTCCCTAGTGGTCTGTCTTTGGGGATCTTGAAATCTGGGCATAACAGCCCCAGTGATGAGTTGTTGAAATCAACCAAGATCTCTCAGCACAGGAGCCTCCGTGGGGGATGCAGCGGTTCTCTGGTCCTGTGGCTGGCCCTGGGGTATTGGAGAAGGCTGCTCTCTTGGACGTGCCTGCCTTGGCAATCAACGCTTAAAGTGGGCACTTGCATTACAAAAGGCAGAAAGAAAGAAAAAAAACTCAGGAAGGGAGCTTCTCACTTGCAAGCCTCCTTTCCCTCGCTTTCTGCGGGGAACTGAGGCAGAGACCTTTCACCTCTGACCTTACTGAATTTAGTCTATGCCACCTGAAGGGATGCTTTAGCCCCTCCCCACCTCACCCTCCACCCCCGTTTTTTTAAAATGAGGAGACTGGATGCCAGTGACATCCAGCTCCTTGGCTTTGACCTTTCACCTCCCTGGCCCTCAAGCATAGTTTGTACATATTTAAGTAATACTATTGTAAATGAAAAAGGGGCTGTGGCATAACCTAACAAGTTCAGGGGGCCACAGGCAGGCCTGATAAGCTCAGCAGCCACACAGGATGGTCTGATCCTAAATCCCTAACTGGGCAGGCCATAGTAGGTAGTCCCATCCCAGGACTACAGCATCCTAGCAAAGGTCAGCCTTTACCTCACGTGAGTTCTGTCCACTGTTCTTACACATCGAGGGTAACAGACCTTGGAAATGGCACAGTAATCACCTTTTAGACCCTCGAGGACACAACACAGGTACCAGAACGCAAGATCCCCAGAACCCCTCATGGTTACCTGGTCCCCTGATACCATCTCTATGTGCTGTGTTAATGACTGGTTGTCCTGTCCTGCCAATGTAAACCATGTTTCTCTATTTTGCTTTTTATTCAGTCCTAGGGATTTGCCCGCTTTGCTTTCTCCCACCTCCCTAAATCTGTCACCAATGATTTGATGTATCCTCCTTGTTTTTTTTTTTTTTTCTCCTTTAATCCTAAATGCATCCAAGGAACTGAAAACTGCCTATTTCCAGAGCATTTTCTCAGTCTTTGAGATTTTGTTTCCAGGCAAACTTTGGCTCAAACTCTTTCTTAAAATTTTTTATAGGAATTCATTTTTTTTTCTAATTTTTTTTATTTTTTATTTTTTCATTTTTTTTATTTCAGAGAGGAAGGGAGAGGAAAAGAGAGATGAAACATCAATGAGAATCATTGATCGGCTGCCACCTGCAGGCCCCACTCTGGGGATCAAGCCTGTAACCTGGGCATGTGCCCCAATTGTGAATCAAACCGTGGCCTCCTGGTTCATAGGCTGACGCTCAACCACTGCCACAATGGCCTGGCCATTTATTTATTTACTTGTTTATTTATTTTTTAATCCTCACCGAAGGATATTTTTCCATTGATTTTTAGAAAGAGTGGAAGGGATGGGGAGAGAGAGAGAGGAGAGAAACATCAATATGAGAGAAATGCATCAGTTGGTTGCCTCCCGAATGCACCGGGACAGGGAATCGAGCCTGCAACCGAGGTACATGCCCTTGACCGGAATCAAACCCTGGACCCTTCAGTCCATGGGCAGATGCTCTATCCACTGAGCCAAATGGGCTAGGGCAACTCTTTTTTTTTTAATGTGTTTATTGGGATGGTTTTTAAGAAGTTTATTGATTTTTAGAGAGAGAGGAAGGGGGAGAGAGAGAAACATTGATGGCACAATATTGATCAGCTGCCTGCCTCCTGCACACCCTCTACCAGGGAAGGAGCCTGCAACTTGGGCATGTGCCTTGACAAGGAATCAAACCAGCAACATCCTGGTGCACAGCAACCTCCTGGGAGAACGCCCACCCAACTGAGCCATACTGGCCAGGGCTCAAATAAGCTTTTATAATACTTTTCTGTATGTTGGGAGTTCTCTTGTTGGTATCATAATAAAATGAGTTATTCCAAAAGTGTCTTTATGGCATTTTTCCTGGAGAGTCAATGTTCACAAAAATGACATTTCCTTGTTCTGGGGCAATAGGTCTGTTTGGTCACAGTGTCTAGGAGAGATGTTTCCTCATCCATGGCTGCTGTCCAGACTCTGCATCCTCAACCAGGGAAAACGCAGGCTCCGAATAGGAGCATGAAGTCATCAGGTCCTCCAGGAAAGGTGGTCCCAGAGCCAAGGCAACAGGAAAGGTAACCACTGGAAGCCCCTGAGCTTTTGTCTGACAGTTGGGAACACAGGCCTGAGAGGGTGGGATTTCACTCCAGGTCTCCTGAGTCCTTTAGGTAGTGTTTGCATAGACTTGCAGTTTTAACAGCCTCCACTGCCCCGAGGCAGGATAGCAATGCCAGCTGTAAGCCAATCCTGATGGTGTTTATAACCTAGTAATTTGTATAAGCAAGTTCCAGTTTTTGATGATGTGGAATAAAAGATGCCTCCCCTCTCAAAAGCAGTTCAAACTTCCCTGGTGCCTCTTACCTAAAGAAGGTAAGCGAAATCCAGAAGGCCTTTTGGCCACTGGATTAGAAATGAGAACAGACCAGGTGTACTGGAGAACAGGTTAGACTGTGATCTGGAACCTCCCTTCCTCTGGGACCATGATCCCCATCTCACCCTAGAACATGCACCAAGGGTCACACACAGGACCCTGAGGCACTAGAGACCCCAGCGTGAGCAGGTAAGACCTGGATGGGAATCGGAGGTTCATGCTCATGTGTGTGGCTGTGGACAAGTTCCTTACCTTTGCGCCGTCTCAGTTTTCTCACATGTAGAGGGGGGGTGCCAGTCGCCCTCTCTGCAGGGGTTGTGACGCTCCAGAAAACAGAACTTGCCGTCTCCCTCTCCTTGCCTGCCCCTCTCCAACAGGCTCATAGTGCAGCTAATTCAGCAAACAGTCCTTTTCTCTTTAAAAGAGGAAGCAGGGCACACTCAAGGGTTTCTAGGTGCTGGGCTCGGGCAGCCTCATGCTGTGGGTGAAGCCAGTGGTGTGCTGGTGAATGTGTGGCAACCGGCTCTTGGAGGAAAAAGAAAGCCCAGTCTGTCGGGATTTGCACCACCAAGGATACCCTGCCCGGGCCGAGTTCCAAGCTCCCACTGAATGCAGAGTGGAAAAGAGGTGTGGGCAGCCCGCTCCCATGAGCCAGGGCAGCAGGTCCTCGAATGATGTTTCGTTCAACATCTTTTCCTTACAGCGTTGATGAGACACAGTAGGAACTTAACTATTGCTTATATCAGTCTGTGGTAAAATTGGTCTCGATATACGTCGTTTCCCTTAAAGTCAAAGAACCTATCATGACATTACGGGAGGACTTAGCTGTACACACCACTGGCACAGGAATCAAGTCACTGAGGCAGGTGGCCACCCCTGGCCAATCAGCTGTAGCTGGGATGGGGTCATGTGACCAAATATGGCCAGAGCCCATCCTTTCACTGCATAGCAGGCTGTGGGAGGTCAATTTCAGAGAAAAAGATGAGTGCTGTGAGACTACTTAAAACATGTTTTGGCTTCTCGTCCGTTTCCCCTTCTGATGACACACTCTGGCTTCCTCCTGGGGAGGTGCTGCAGGTGCTGGGGCTCAGAACAGGGGCTCTTGGCCTGAGCCACCAAGTATAAACGTTCCGGTCATGTGACTGGTTCAGGGACCGAACTTCACCCAGTTCAACCCGGGAAGACCCACTCAGACTTTTGCTGGGACTTCTGGGAGAGACAGGCTTGACTGCTGGGAACCTGAGGGCTGTGAGTTTGGAGCTGTGGACTCCACAGGAGTCCAAGGGTGAAGCTGACTGGGAACAAAGCCAAGTGGAGAGACACTTCACTGAGTCCTGAAGCTGACCTGACCCTGCCGATGTCCATGTTGTTATGTAAGCCAATAGACCCTCATTTGCATTGGGCGTTCTACACCCTGCAGCCATGTCTCACGTTCACAAGACCATGAAGACTCAGAGGAGTGAGCTCCATGGTGACTCATGTCCAAGTCACTTCTGTCTCCCCCATAATGCCTAGCACAGGGCCTACCTTGATAAACTTTGGAGGAATTAATTCCTGCATTTCCCTCCTGCAATCAGAACACTGACCTCCATGGGGCAAACTTATGTGAAGGGGACTTTTTTCTTTTTAATATATTTTTTTACAGAGAGGAAGGGAGAGGAATAGAGAGTTAGAAACATCGATCAGCTGCCTCCTGCACACTCCCTACTGGGTATGTGCCCGCAACCAAGGTACATGCCCTTGACCGGAATCGAACTTGAGACCTTTCAGTCCGCAGGCCGACGCTCTATCCACTGAGCTAAACCGGTCAGGGCTGAAGGGGACGTCTCGATCCCCTCAGTCACTGGAATAGCTCCCACAAATCTGGGCACTCATGATGGTCCCCCAAAGAGGGTTGGGAGAAGCTGCAGTGAACCTCACCGGTGGACTCCATGCGTCTGAAAAGGCTTCAGAACTAGACAAACTGGGGCTGAATTTACGTCCCTCTATTGCAGCATGATCCTCGGCAAAATACCTCTCTTGGCCTGCTGCCCACTTCATAGGGGGTTGTGAGGTAATCAGCACCATCTCCCTCCAAGTCTGGGGGGGCGGGGGAGGGGAGAGGAGCAGTGGAAAGGTGCCCCCCAGCCCCGCCCTCGCACAGAGCACGCCACACACCACCGCCACCCGGGTGCAGGTATGTTTATTCTTCACAACAGAGAAATACAAAGAGCAGAGGGTTTAGAATTCCTGTGTGTCTTGCCCCCTTTAGTGTTTTTCCCCACATTGCATTTTTTTCACTCCCCACCCCTTTTCTTAAATGTAATGCAAACCTCCTTCCTGACGCGTTGAGGGGCGCCTGCCCTCACCTCCCTGCCACCAAGATGCAGACTGAGAGGCCAACAGACTGTTTTCTCTTTTTTAATAAGGTAACTAGTTCTAAATAAGGTGGCCTGGAGGTCCCATAGAAAAAGCAGAGGGTGTTAACAGTGTGTATAACAGCGTATTTACAGGGTAGTAACATGCGGACAAAAGCTACAATACTGAGTATCAGACGACGCAAGTCAAACAAAGGGGTGGGGGCGGGCGGGGGCAGAGAACCCTGTGGGAAAAGAAACCCCAGGAGACGTTAAACTGGTAAATCAATGGTGAGTTAAGGCTTAAAAAGTGTATAAAAATAACACAGTTAATATTCAAAACGGAACTCCAGATACAGAATATATAGATGAGTTTCTGTCTAGTTTTTTTTTTCCCGGGGGATGGAGTGGGGCTTCTCCGGTCTCTGTACATGGTTCCTATATACACGGACACGCATGGCTTTCAGATCGGGGTGTGTCTGTGGGGGCTGAGGGCAGGGGCAGCTCCTGGGACCCTCCTTTCGGAGGACCCCTTCCCTACCGAGGGGCTGAGGGCCTGGGCTGGGGGTTCCCCCTCCATGGCAGGGAAGACAAGTAACCCCTCCCTGGGTAATGTCCCATCTGGAGGAAATGATGGAGGGGGTCCTAGCCCCAGACCCACTCCCTCCCCATCCCCCTGCCCACAGTCTGGGATGGTGGGAGAGGTAGCCAATAGGTTTCCTGGCCAGCACCGAGGTAGACTGGGGTGGTCTTAAGGGCATTGGGGGTCCAGGTCTTACCCAGCCCACCCCGCCCCATTTCCCTGGGCTGCACCCAGCCCAGCCCAGCACTGCAGCCTTTGGTCCTTCTGATCCCCCGGCCCCTCTCGTTTTGCCTCCTGAAGTCTGGGCAGCTCTGGTGGCTGCCGCCTCCCTCTGGTCAGTGATGCTCAGGGTGCAGCTCGAGGTCCACGCTGGGCACCCAGGGTGAGGGGCTCGCTCCAGCTGCCACCTGCCCCTTCCACCAGCCCCCCCCACCCCCCCCTTTGCAGTCCAGAAACCCAGGCCTGAGCCTTCCCTCAAGACCTAAGGCCATGGCAAGAGGCGGTCCCACGCTGCCCTCTGGTTCTCTGTGTCCATCTGTCCAACTCTTAATTTCTCGGTCTTAGCAGCACCAACTTCTTGGCCAATAAATATCTTTTTGTTATTTCCAAAACAAACTTAAAAAAAACAACAACAGTGAAGCAAGTGAAGGGTGGAGGGAAAAAGAAAACCCAACAGAGAGAGGTTCAAAGTGCTCTGAGATCGTCTTTGGATGCCACCAAACAGTCCAGTATCTTGCGGTTGGCCTGGCCACCCGGAGCTGGGCCGGGCAGGGCTTCTGTGCCCAGGCTTTCTGGAAGGTCAGGAAGGTCATTGCGAGCTCGGCTGTTCCTGGAGGGCCCTGGAGGGGGTCGGGCCTGGTGCTGCCCGGGTCTGTGTCTGCCAGTGGGCAGGGCGGCGCCTGGGGTCGGCTCAGATGAGGGAAATTCGCACCGGGATGCCGGGGGACTCCGTCCTCTGGGGCGAGTGATGGCTCACCAGGTGCTCCACCACCGTGTGTTTGGACATGTGCTTCATCAGGTAGGTCTCCTGTGGGCAGGGATGAGAGAGCATAAAACCAACAGCTGGCAGGGGAGGCAGAAGAGGCTGCAGTTCCCACAAGGAGCCACTGGAGGGCGCCTTGGCAATGAGCCAGCCAGCGAGCAGCCGCAGCCTGGGGAGCAGATGAGCATCCGCCTAGGTTCCAGGCGTGCTGCATCCACAGGCCTGGGGGCTGGCTCGCTGACCAGAGTCTGACCCCCTCGTGTTGGCTGGAGAGCTCATCCCTCAGCAGTGCCCACCTGGCAGTGCCTAGGGCCAGGCCAGCTGCCATTTACCAGCGAGCTGCAGCGAAGTGTGCTGGCTGGTGCTCGCAGTGAAGGTGGAGCGCAGGCCTGGGTTTCAGCCTGGTTCTGGATAAGTCACCTCAGCCCTCCAGGCCTAGTTTCCTCCTCTGCAAGCAGGGGTGGGCAGGAACAATCTCAAAGGGTTGCTAGGGTGATGTGGATACCGATCTTAGCATGCAGTAAGTGCTGAGGGAACCATGCCTTCCCTGGCTTTGCATTTCATTCCAGGTGGTGGTGGGAGCCCCGGCCTCTGCACCCCTACACTGGACCCTCCCTTGAGGAGAAGTGGCGCCTGATTTGATTGGCGAGCTTGGAAGCATAAACTGGGCATGCTCAGCTCGTTCCTTGAGTGCCCCCCACAGGCTCTGCTGAATCTGACTTGAGGCACCCAAGAGTGGGTGGGCAAGGTGACCAAAGGCCCACCTGCAGGCCCACAGGCCTCACACTAGGCTGCAGGGTGGCACTCTGGTTCCCACCTGCCACTCCTTGGCCTCATACCTCAATCTGCTCAGAATCCGGCAGAGAAAACCCTCAAATGTGGTGGCCACATGCTGTCACACAACATCAGAGGGAAGCAATCAGCAAAATCCAAACTAGGAAATGACTCGTCAATGAATAAATTGCAAAGAAAAAAAAAAGGTAGGAGTCAGGGGAGCCAACAGATTAAAAGATATACTGACCCAGTGCAATGTAGAAATCTTATTTGGATACTAATGAATAAAATTCTAAGTAAATAAAATTATGGCATTGGTGGGACAAACGAAAATGTGAATGCTTCCTGGGTATTTGATGTTAAGGACTTGGACTGAATTATTTTGTGGTATTAAGAAGTATTGTAGGTATGTTTAAAGAGTCCTTATGTTGAGACACTAAGTGAACCTTTAGATGAAACAGGATTGGCTGAGGGTTCTGGGAGCTGATGGGAACACGAGGATTCACTATTCTACAATGTTTCTTTTATGTATTACAGTAGTTTAAAAATCAATCTATTAATTTTTCTTGTTCAGTCAGGCCCAGTTCAGGGTGGGGCCTCAGGCCAGGTAAGAGCTGACCCCCTCCTTCCCCCCAGAGTTCAGACAGATCCCCTCTAAGAACCCCAGCTATGGATGCTGGAGGCACCTCCTCTAAGAGTGGGGGTGTAGAGGAGGGTCAAGAGCTTGGGACTGGGACTGACTGAGGTCAGAAGACTGGGGCTCCTAGGTCTCCGGGGCTCCCCACACAAGCTCCCTGGTCCCTGCAGGGTCTGTCCTCCCAGTCGCTCCTCTGCCTCTGACTCCAGGGAAGGGAAGCGCCAGGTGCTCGGCACTCAGCATGCTACAGCCCACTGGCATCAGCCACAGACTGCTGACCACCCGCCTGTCATCCCTGCGTCCCCTCCAGCCAGTGTGACCTTTCATACTCTCCTAGCTGGCCCCTCCCGATGGCTTCCCATTCCCCCTAGAAAACATCCAGACTCCCGCACAGGCCACACAGCCCCATGCGACCCATTTTCTTCCAGTTCCTGGAACACGCCTCGCTTGTTCTGCCTCAGGGGCCTTGCATCTTCTGTTCCCTGCAGGGAATGTTCTTCCCCCGCCTCCTGCTCACCTGGCTCATTCTCCTCCAAGGCCTCAGCTAAACGTTCCTTCCTCAGACAGCCCACCCAGACCTGTCTCTCCTTCCCGCTCCGTTCTGTCCTCCCCGCTGCTGTCTTTCAAAACACACTTTCCTTCTTAGCAATGGTCCTCAATCAGAAGCGACTGTGCCCCCCACGCCCGGGACATTTGTCAAAGTCTGGAGGCATCTTGGGTTGTCACAACTGGGGAGGGGGCTGCCAGTGGGCAGAGGCCAAGAATGTTGCTAAGCATCCCACAATGCACAGGACAGCCCGCCCCAGCAGAAAGTACCTGCCCAAACGCCAACACGGGCCGAGGCTGAGAAACCCTGCTTGGAGCGATCACCACAACTTGTCAGCACATACTTATCTGCGTGGCCACTTATTTAATGTCTCCAGCAGCCGACTCGAACCTCCCTGGCAGCCAGACATCTGTCTGGTTCATCCTGGTTCCCAAGCGCCGGCACAGGCGCTCAGTAAACCCTGAGTAAGTGTGTCAGCTGAGGCGGCCGAGGGCCAGTGGCCAGCCTGTGAGTTGAGAGCTCTCCCTCCTCCGCTGACAGCTGAGGAAACTGAGGCTCCGAGCTGTCTGTCTGGTACACACGGGGGTCTGTTACCCAGAATATCTGATCAGCCAGAAGCGCACACACAGTGACTCACCTGGACTCCCTCTTCTGAGGTCTGAAAGGCCCTTGTTTGGGAAATTCAAACCCAGGGCAGAGGGCTGGATGCAATGACCCTTCTGGCACTGTCCAGACCTTCCCTGACACCTGAGGTGGCTCTAGGCAAAGTCGCTCTGCCACCTTGTGGCCGTGATGGGGGTTGCAGCTTCCCCAGAGGAAGAAGGCCTTTCTCCCTCCCTGACTCCAGAAAGCAGGGTACCAAGTCCCCCCACCAAGGCCTGGAGTATTCTGGGGTCTGGCAGGAACCATGCCTCTGAACCCTAACGGCCACCAGGGAGCTGGGAGCTTGGCCTGGGGCTGCCTGAAAGAGAACTGGGAACAAGCCCTGGCTCTACCACTCACTGTGACCTTAAGGGGGCACTAGGAGCCCCGCTGGGCCTCAGTTTTCTTGTCTAGAAAATGGCAACTGTCAGAACTGATCTGAGGAGGAGGAAGTGGAGGCCGGGGAGAGGAGGAGGCCCCGGGGAGCCCAGGCACTCACAGAGGTGTAGGCCCGCCCGCACATGCTGCAGCAGTAGGCCTTGGCGTGCTTGATGGCGTGCGCGGACAGGTGGATCTGCAGGGAGGCGGAGTCCGAGTAGGCCCGGTAGCAGTTGGGACACTTGTAGGGCTTGTCCTTGTTGTGCTGGCGCTGGTGAGACTGTGGGGAGTGCAGGACGGAGTCAGGGGCCAGCAGGCCTCGCCCAGCCCCAGCCCCACCCCCTGCTTATGCTCCCTTTTCAGGTAACTGCACCTGTTGGGCAGGGGCAGGTGGCACTCACCTGGAGATTGGAGAGCTGAGTGAAAGCCTTTTCGCAGCCAGGATGCGGGCACTTGTAGGGTCTGTCGCCTGTGTGGATTCTGCAAGGGGCAGCCCAATGAGGTGGAGTCCGGCAGATACCCCTAGGCCAGCTCCGGCCCCTAAGCCTTCACTGGCCCGCGCAGACCTCTGGCTCCCAAGCCTCCCAGGCTCCACTACACAAGCTCTCCCCAGAGCGAGCCCCAGGCAAGAGCTGGGGTCTTCAAAGGCCACCCCCTCTTTCTCTGACCAACCACTGCCAGTCTATGATTAATGCCTTCCTGCTCCCCAAGTCCCTGCTGAGCCCAACTCTCCAGGGGCACCCACCCGGAGACCTGCCCCGACCTCCAGCTAGTCATGGAGGGCTTGCTGGGACTGCATTGGCCCCGGTCTTCTAAAAGGCCCACCTGCAGGCCACCCCTGAAAAGAGCACAGGCTCCCAGCTGCTTTCCCTCAGAAAAAGGAGACTCCTCCCTTTGATTGGCCCCAATATCTGTTTCCGACCCCTCCCCATGTCAGGCACGTGTCCATGATGGCTACACGGTCACTCCAACTACTGAGAGAATGCAGGACAGGGTGGCCCTAAAGCTCAGCCCCTCTGTGTCCTTCCTGTGAGTCCCTTCTGATCCCCTCATTCCGGGTTCTCATCCTGGCTCCACCCCTTACTAGCTGGGTGACCTTGGCAAATCACTGAGCCTCGGTTTTCTCATCTGCAAGATGGGTGCAAAATCCAGTCCCTCCCTCACTGGGCCTTATGAAGATAGATAATACATGAAAAGGGCTGAGCCTCAAGTACTGGCACACAGTGAGCACTCAGTGAACACTAGTATTATTATTCATTCATTGAACAGTTACTACATCAGCTACCTACCTCTGTGAACAAAACAGACAAAAACCACCGCCTTGTGCAAACAGGCAGCAACACACAAGTCACATGTGGGAGGCAATGCGTGCTGTGAGAACAAGGTGAGGTGATCACGAGTGCAGGGAGGGGTGCAGGTTTAATCAGGGGACCAGGGCGGGCCTCACTGAGAGGCCACTTGGAGGCTGATGGTGTATTTTCAGTTGAAGTCTGTGGGCAACACATGCCCGCCCTACAGCCAGGTGGGGACGCAGGTGGACCGAGGGGAGGTGTGTGGAGGGGGCCCTGCCCGCTCTCCCCACTCAAGCCTCCTCCTGCCACCTGGACTTGCCTTTCACCACCTGTCCTGGCAAAACCTCTGAGCCAAGCAGGCGGGGAGTGAAGCGCTGGCTGGGTCTGAACTCGTTCGCCTACTTTACAGAAGAGCATTAGGTGCAGGGAAGACCCAGCTCCGGCCTCCTGGTGGCTCCTTCCCTAGGCCCGGGCCACCTCGCCAACTGCGTTTGCTCTGCCCGTCACCACTCTTCAAGCAAACTGAGGCCCTGGGCCAGGCCCCATGCTGGCTGGGCTTGAATCAGGGGCGCTCCCTGCCATCAACAAGCCCATGACACAGAGACCGCCCATTGTCAACACCGATGAGTCCAAATTCCTTCGTCGCTCAAGGCCCTCTGCCGTGGGGTCCAGCCTCAGCTCCCTGCTCCCAAGCGCCCCACGTCCTGGTCAGAGAACTACGTCTCATCGATGCTTCTGATGCCAGCCCTGCGCCCGTCGCCTCCTCAGCACGGGAGGCTGCCCTCCGACTGGGATCCGAAGGGCAGGGACAGCCCGGACTCGGGTGCAAGGCCAAGTGGAGCTGGGCTGGCGGGCCCTGAGGACCCCTACTCTGCCTGCACGTTTCTGGGTGTCACATTTTGGGGACATCATCCCAGGCTCCTGCACCCTGTCTCTACAATGGAAGGACCTTCAGAGTCATCTGGACCTACCGCCTGATGCCAGAATCTGCTCCATTCCCTCCCACCTTCGCTCCCCCCAGGGCTGTGGGATTCATTCAGCAAGAGATCTGGTGACAGAGGGGACTAAAGGGCCCCAGGATACGCACGGATTTTGGCTGAAACCCCACAATACTCACCCAGAGTCCCCACCTCCCACCACTGCTCGAGTCAGGCCTCTCCCCTGCCTGCGGCTCAGCCCCACAGGCCCCGCTAGCATTCCAAGTTGCCTCCTACCCCCAGTCCTTTATCCAGGCTGGTCCCTCCTCCAAGAACAGTTCCCTCAGCAAATACCCAGCTAAACCCCCCACTCCTGTTCTCAGTATAAAGGCCCCTTGTTTGAGGCAGCTTTCCCTGACCCCCAGACTAGGCCTGGCCCCCACAGCCCACCCCTCAAGCAGAAGTCATGCTGTCACTTTCTAGGCGCTGATTTCTTGGCTGCCTCCTCGATCTCCTTCACCACCATCACCCCAGGGCCTGGCAGAGAGGACTCAACACACAGTCATCGAACGAAGGAAAGTGAGTTCTTTCTCTGAAGGCAGTCAGCGACAACAGTAATATGCTCAATGTAATCAACATCCACTCACTCCTCAGGGGTATGTCACACGTGTTTGTTGACTGACTCATCGATGGTCCTCTGGGGACTTTAGGTCTTTCCTTAGTGACCCAGCCAAGACCTCTTGACCAGGAAACCCCCCTCTAGCCTTCTCCCCCAAAGCCCCAGCTGCCTGGCCCCCTGCCTGGCCCCCAGCCTCTGCCTCTCCCCTTCTGATGGCCACGCAGCAGCGGCGGCACATGCCTCTGGCCTTGTCGCATCCCTGCTTGGCATCCACCACCGGCTCTCCTCTTCCAGGACGGAGTCCAAACCCCCTGCCCCAGATTCAAGGCCTCAGTTCCTGAAGCCTCCCCTCTGCCACTGCTCTCCCCAGAGGGGCATCTTCCCAGCCTCCCCCAGCACATGTGCAGACATCCCCCCCACCCACCACCCCCCCACCCCCACCCCCCCAGCAAGCCTCTGAGCCTTTGCTGATGCTATTCCCCCGGCCAGGAACAGCCTTCCCCTCTCTCACTAGGGAGGGCTATGGGCCCTTCACCACCTGACCCAGATGATCGCCCCCAACCTCCACCACATACTTCCCTCTTATGAAGTTTCCACATCCACCAGCCTCCCGGGTTGTGGAGGGAGTTCCTTTGGGCTAGAGCCTGCCTCTGACCACGGATCTGTCCCTGTGTGTGGCCCTCCCTCTTCGGGGAGCCACTTTGGAAGAAAGAAGGACCAGCCTGCCCGTTCTCACGGATACTGGCCCCAAAGCTCTTCAGTCCCGGAGTTTCAAGTCAGGACCAAACCTTCAACTGCAGCGCCAGATCCCTCCCTTGTGGGGCACCTTCCCCCTGGGGAGCACCCGCCACCGGCTCCCTCGCCTGTGGAGATGGAGAGCTCACCACCGACCCCAGGCGTGTGGATCACAGGGAAGCTGAGCCGAAACGGGTGCCCCTCACCTGCCTTTCCACCCCAGCCCCCAGCCCCGGGCCCCAAATCTCCCTTCTGCCTCCTCCCAGGAGTGTGACCTCAGACAAGTGACTGCCTCCCTGAGCCCATTTCCTCGTCCCCACAACAGGGGTGACAGTCGCATCGTGAAGACTGGAGGGAGCAGATGGCTTCCATGAAGGTGTTCACAGAACATTGGTGTGGTGTTAGTTTTTAATACATTCATTTCTATTTAAGATAAACAGTTTATGAAACACACCAAATGGGGAATTTATCCCATGTTTAAATAAACGTAAGGGTTCATTCGTTACCATTTCTCTCCTAGGTAATGAAGCCCCATCATAAGGAATGGCTTCAGTCAGGTTGTGCTTTGTAACAGCAACGGCGGCCTTCGTTCATTGCTCAGAGTTAGTTGGCCTTCCCTCCCCATGGCATTTTTCAGGTTTGTTATGTCTTAGGAGGAAACCCCAGTTCACATTGTCTGAGGGCTTGATGGGCACCTTGGGTGCAAACCGCGACGCAGAGCCGGGCCCACGGGCGCGTTCTGACCAGGAGCGCAGGTGGGCACCCGCAGTTTACGGGGCCTGTGGATTTCCGGTTGCTTGTTGTGTTGCAGTCTCCAGTCGTATTTTTAAACAAATGTCTACTTCTGAAAACACTCAGATTCTTAATAACTATCAGCGCTTGCTTCTGTGTGCATTTTCGTATGGAAAATAACACAGTAATTAATACATGAAAATACAAGAACCAACTCTGTGCTTCGTGTAGTCACAGCTGTAAACCTCCCTGTGCCCAGCCTGTAGCGGTGATGGTTTCACTATCGTTACTCTCAGCAGAATGGAGAGCGAATGGCGCCTGTCCCTGTCCCAGTCACTACACCCGTACAACGCGTCACACAGCCAGGAGGAGGAGAGGCAAACCGCTCTGCAGTCTGAACAAACAACCACACGCACCTAGAGTCACCCTGCCTAGCATGTGTCCCCCACAAAATAAAACTTGGAGCCCTCTCTGTACCCACGAAGCATGTTCTCCCTGACTTGTGCATCGCGTAGCTGCAGATGTGTACGTAGGCCGACTGCACGAGACCACTGCTGTCTTCCTACCACGAGCAGACTCGCTACAAAACCCTGCTTATTTTCTCTTCAAACGCATGTGGTACTCCTGCTTCCTGAGCTGAGCCTCCGGACGCCTGGACTTCGGCAACCCTTTCAAGTCACCTGCTTCCCTTTCCCTTGTGTTTGTCTGGCAGCTGAGGCCCCGCCAAGATGCTCCAGGGTCACCAGCGCACTGCGTGCTCCCAGCACAGCGCTCTCAACAGCCAGGTGAGTCTTGCTCAGCCCGTTTCTCACTGACGGGGGCTGGTCCGTTTTGGACATGAACATCTTTTTCTTACTCCCTTCACTATTGGCAATGACACTGGGAAGACGGGTTTGGTTCTACGCCCTGATGGTGGAGTCCAAACCCCCTGCCCCAGATTCAAGGCCTCAGGTCCCAGAGCCTCCCCCTCGGTCACCTGGAATCGGGTGGCTTTGTGTGTGTCTGTCTAAAGGATTCTGGGACTTGTGGGCATTTGGGAACCCCACCTCTTTGTCACTGGGTTGACACGGGGGTTTAATATGTGCTGCTGCCTAATGACTAATGATGTGTCCCTAAATGTTGTTACAAACGTTGCTTGTTTGGCTTTTCACCAGTGAGAACTGAAATCACTAAAAAATAAAATAAAATAAAAAATTGTGCCCTCAGGAATAGAGAGCACCCCCCCGCCCCCGCCCCCAGTCAAGGAACATTCTGATGAAATAGTCTCCTCTAGGCCAGTGAATTCCTTGTTACTTGCTTTGTTGAGGCTTAAGTAATACTTTTTAACAAATGTCTACTTCTGGAAAAACTCGATTCTAAATAATCATCACTGCTTGCTACTGTGTGTATTTTCTACTAGACTGATGCCCACACCATGCCCGCGCTGCCACCTGTGCTGTAGCCTTTCCTAAATCCAGAATTACAAAAGGCCGAGGTGTCCTTTACCCGCAAAGGCTCCTGCAGTTTCCAGAAGCTGCCGGGCGACACCAAAGATTTCCTCTTCCGTTTTATAAAAAGAGGGGTGATCCGAATAATTGGGTATTTTTTAAATTCTCTATATATTTTTTTGTTGTTTGTTTGTTTAGTCCTCACCTGAGGATATTTTCCACTGATTTTTAGAGAGAGTGGAAGAGAGAGGGAAAGACAGAGAGAATATTGGTGACAGAAACACATCGATTGGTTGCCTCCTGCACAAGCCCCAGCCAGGGCCTGGGCCGGGAAGGAGTCTGCAATCGAGGCATGTGCCCCTGACCAGAATCGAACCTGGGACCCTTTGGTCCACAGGCCAATGCGCTATCCACTGAGCCAAACTTGCTAGGGCAATTCTACATATTTTTAATCAGCAGAACACTAGAGCGAGAGCTAGCCTGCTCCTAGCACGAGAAAGTTGGCAAAGCAAATGAAGAGAAGCTCAAGCTCCCTGAGTTAACATTATGAATATCTGTAATTATATGTAATGTATATAAATATAATAGTAATATAATCATAGATAACATGTAATCATATAGAATATAATTATGTGTGCTCTATAATTACATATAATATAAATATACTGAGGCCCAGTGCACAGATTCATGCACCGGTGGGGTCCCTCGGCCTGGCCTGCGCCCTCTCACAATCTGGGACCCCTCAGGTGATGTCGGACTGCCAGTTTCGGCCCAATCCCCGCAGGCCAGGCCGAGGGACCCCACCGGTGCACGAATCCATGCACTGGGGCTCTAGTATGCATATAAGATCTTTGGTTAAGCTCTTCCTGCCCTCCCCTCTCCCCCCTTCCCCCTGAGATTCATCAGTCTGTTCCATGTTTCCATGCCTGTGCATTGAGCATCTGCCCCCTGGTGGTCAGTGCGCGTCATAGCTACTGGTTGAACAGTTGCTTAGGCTTTTATATATAGATTCACCATATAATTATATATAATATATTTATATATTTATGTTTTTTAAGGTGGAGAAAAAAAACACGTCCAGAGACTTGCACAATAAGTATCCACAGATTTTTTTTTTAGCTTTAACTATACTTATCAATTAGTGCCAATCATAACATGTGCTTTATGAGATAAATTAGAAGATTTATCTAATTTACCCTGAAGATTGGTCCATGCCCTTACTGCCTCTGTTTTTAATCTGAAAAATGGACCGTGATTATACTTTAACAGAGGGCTCCATTCTCCTCCGTTCTGATGTTGTTCACTATTATACCCAACAGACCAGAGGGACTTAGTCCTGTCCACCGGTCAGATTACCCCTCACACTTGCCTGAAGGCCCCTGCTTCAAACTGCAGGTCAGAAATTGAGTCTGGAAGAAGCATTCAGAGACGACGGCCTCAGCAGAGGACCGTGCCAGCCACACTCGGCTCTTTATACTTCAGGGAATGGACAGTGGCACCGGCGTCCAAGCTGACGCCATCACCGTGACCAGACACTGCCCGGGGCCCAGGCAGGGTCCATGAGTCTTTAGTCCAGAAGCAAACGACTTTGCAAAGTGAACTAACTACCCAAGATCAGCAGAAGAGGAACACGGCCCAGCATTGGATGGAAGTGATTTATTCTAGTTAATGGTATTTCCTAAAGGCATGTGAGAAAACCCTCTTTTGCTTTGATTTCTCTCTAATCCTCACTTTAGGAGGCCATATCTGTACAAATGAGAATAAAATATTCCTTAAAGGGTGCCTTGTTCCAACTAACCCTTCAGAATTCTGGAGGGGAAACACTATAAAAATTTAACATAGATATAAACCAATGAATGATCAGGGAAATTTAAAAATAATAGTTCTTTTGAAAACCATACAGGTCATTGGCCTTGCTGACAACACTCAGAACAGGTACTAGAAAGCAGTCCACGTGACGTTACTGAGACCCTTCTCTTCCTGAGATCATCACCGGCTCCGTAAGCAGGTTCAATAAGAATCTGTCCTCCTTCCTCATAGGACTCAATTGGGCAAATCAAATTTGTAACCATGACCATGCCAGAAATGTCACATTTAAGGACAAAGGTCATTTAATTGGGCATGACAAGCCTGATAGTCAGAAGCGAGGACTGGACTTCACCGGTGGCCCCCCAGGAAACCGGACTGGCTCTGCTCCGCGGCAGACCCCAGGGAGTTGCGTCCTGAAGGTTGTAGAAAGAGTCATTCCTGCCGGCCCAGAAAAGTGACCAACTTGGGGATTCTCCGAAAGATGGTACCTACTGTTCCAGGTTATAGAGCAAACCAGACAGGGGTGAAGCGGCTGGTTCTAGGTTCCCGATCTTAGATAATAAGAAAACTTTGCGGCTTCACACAGTTTCCTGGCAGAAGTCAACTCTCAAACCTTAGCGTCACATGCTCTAATTTTAAGAACCAAGCAACCAGCGGGGCTTGATTACATATAGTTCTCTGTACATAAAACTGGCCAAACCTTGAAAAAAAAATCAAAGTAATGACAAAAACCAGAGAATTGCTGAAGCAAACTTAGGGGCCAAATCTACAGCAGCGGAGGCATGAGAAAGGGAAAGGCGGACTGACTCCTTGTCCTGTGGCTGTTCTGCCATTTGTTTGTTATCCTACCTACACATCACGCCCCCAAGTCTGAGCGGCAGACAGACAAAGCCCGCTGCACCCTGATAGAGCACCCTGGGAATGGAGAGAAATGAACACATAAGGACAACAAAACAAGTCAGACATCGGGTCCCTCTGTCGAGCATTTGTCCCCAAAACAGAGAAAACCTTGAGTGCTTCCTGTGAGATACCAACTCCGCGGCAAAAACAATTTTATCCCTGACGGCGCAGGGCGGATACTGGCGAACACAGCATGTTACCGATCTCACCGCCCTGGAGAAAAGGGCTGTGTCTCCCCTCGGAGGAGATGAACTGCCATCTCGAAAACCGAGTTTGTTTCTTTAAATTTCCATGGTATTTTTATTTGGTGAGCCAGTCTCTTTGATGTCTGTCCTCCCCTGCAAAAACATTTCTTTCCTTAAAGCATGTTTCTCTTAGAATCTCCCTTTCACACACTGGACTGGAAGGTAAGCCCATGAGGGCAGGGATTTTTGTCCGTTTTGTTCATTGTCGTACTCCCAGCACCTAGAATCACATCTGGCTAATAGAAGAGGTTCTGTAATTATTTGTTAAATGGCCCCATAAAAGCTAGTTCTAGTTATTTCAAAAATATTAAACAAATGCTTAGATGCTTGCAGCACACATTGGGGGGGGGGGGGGTGGAAACGGAGACCAAACCCTGGCCTTCGAGAACTCCCAAAATATTGGGGATGATGGGTAAATAGCCAGTTAAGTACAAGACAGCCTCCCACTGCTGTGATGGGGAGGCCCAGGGCCTGTGGAACCAGCTCAGGGGGGCCCAGGAGGACTTCCTGGAGGAAGTGGACTGAGAGATGGACAGGACAGGGCCAGAGAAACAGGGTAAAGGAGGGGAGGGTGTTTCAGGGAAAGGACACAGCATGTGCAAAGACCTGCAGATGAGAAAGGATGGGAAGGATGGTGTAGCAGTGTGAGCTGATGCCAGTGAGGTCCCCGTAGGCCATATCATAAAAGGCCTCCCTCGAATACCAAGCAAAGGAATTTGGTCTTGACCCAGAAGGAAGTGGGCACCTAGAGAAGGTCCTTGCCCCAGGTCCATGCATGGGCACAGGTGCCGAACTGAAATGGCTGCAGGCGGGCACTCACCTGGTGTGCTGCTGGAGGTGGGAGAGCTGTCGGAAGGACTTATCACAGTAGGAGCAGTGGTAGGGCTTGACGCCCAGATGGATGCGCAGGTGCTGGGCCAGGTAGGAGGCGTTGGCAAAGGACTTGGAGCAGTGCGGGCACTTGTGGGGCTTGGCCTCTGTGTGCGACTTGGAGTGGATCTGCATCTCGGACTTGGTGAAGAAGGTCAGCGGGCACACCTTACACCTGTGGGCAAGAGGCAGGTTCACACCCGGGAGATGCCTGCACCCCCTGCCTGTACAGCTCAGGGGAGACCTTCTGCATGAGACCGTGCACCTGGGACTGAGCTTTCCTGTGAGGAGTCTCTGGGGCACAGGCCCACCCGGGAGAGGTGGGAGGCAGGCTCGGGCCTGGACAACCTCCAATCTGGAGGAGAAAGCTCTTCCGCCTGGGGGCCCCTTTCCAGCAGCCTGCACAGCAGGCTCACCCCTCACAGGGAGGAGAGGTCGGGTGATCTGGTGATGGTTTGCCCAGAGCCACACCCACAGTTCTGGGGGAGCGTTCAACCGGCTGCACCTTAGAATCACTGCGGGAGCTTTCAAGAAAGACTGACACCTGGTCCTCCACGTGCCCCCTCCCCCCAACAAATTAAATTAGAATTTTTGGAAGTGAGGCCCTGGTTTGGCATTTTTTGAACTCCCCCCAGTGATTCTAACGTTCAGGGTTAAAGGGAGGAGGAAACAGACTCCCATGACCCAGGCTGGGTGCCCCACACTCACTGCCTCTGAAAGGATGTGGGTGCAGGGGACTTAGCCCCCCTCAGCCCCTGGGGTCCCTCTCTCCAGCCCCCACTGCTGTGCTCCTGGGGACAGCCCTCCGCCAGAGCCTCTGCCCCAAGCCCACCTGGACCCCCTCCGGCCGAGACCCCCACCTGTATGTCTTGCCCTCCTTGGCAGTCTCGCCTGAGGCCAGGATGGGGTAGGGGACTACCAGGACAGGCGGGCCCCCTGGGTTCTCCGCCTTGATCTTTTTGCGGCCTCGCTCGGACTTGGGGGGGCCCAGCAGGCCATGGCCCTGGATTGTCTTGATGGAGTCCAGGAGGGGGGGGCTGGTGATCCCTGAGATGAGGGTGGGGGACGAGGCGATGAGGCGGCTCTGGCTGGTGGTGGTGGGTGTGGACGGGGTGCTGGTGCCCGTGCCCGCGCTGGACTCTGATGTGCTCACAGCCGGGGTCCGGGAGGAGAGCCCTAGACCTGCGAAGACACGGGGGTGGGGGCAGGGGTGAGGGGCAGCTGCAGAGGCCAGCTCAGCCCTGGCCACCCAGCTGTGCGACTTTGGCAGGTTACTCGCCTCTTTGAGCCTCCCCTTCCCTTTGTAAATTATTGTCCAGGGGTAACTAAATGAGCTTGTGTATGTGTAAGAGGCCTTAGATACCTGAGAACTAAAATGAGTTAGATAAAAGGCACTTGGAAATCATGCAAACTACAGAAAAAAACAAAACTGAGACACAACGATGTTCACGACTGTGTTAGTTATAATAGTAAAAATTAGAGGCAACTGAAATTTGTAACATTAGGGAAGAAAGGATTTGATGAATTTTGATCAATCTCCTCTACTAAACATTACTGCCCATTAAAAAGTTCGTATTTGTTTTATGGAAAAGTAAGAGGAGATATACCAAAATGTGATGTGGATGGCAGAATTAAAAGTAATTTTAAAAATATTTTTGGGGGGTGTAACTATACTTTCAGACTCTTTGAGAATAAACTTTTTATTTTTACTTCTATAATAAAAGTTACTCTTTTTAAAACGAGGGGACCAGAGCCCTGGCCGGTTTGGCTCAGTCGATGGAACATCGGCCTGCGGACTGAAGGGTCCCTGGTTCGATTCTGGTCCAGGGCACATGCCCGGGTTGCAGGCTCGGTCCCCCGTAGGGGGTGTGCAGGAGGCAGCCAATCAATGATTGTCTCTCATCATTGATATTTATCTCTCTCTCCCTCTCCCTTCCTCTCTGAAATCAATAAAAATATATTTAAAAATAAAAATAAAATGAGGGGACCAGAAACATTTACAATAACAGATTAAGTAGACAAAACGATGAAAATGGTATCATGTGGGGAAACTACACTTTTTTTTAAATCTTTCTGTGCACTGAAAGAGAGAAAATCCAGCACCAGCACCAGCATGTTGTGGGCACACGTGCAGCTGGAGTGTGCACTTGTCACCTTTAATGAAGGACTGCATGGCAACAGCCCTTAAAATGTTCAATGTACGTAACTTTTGACCAAGCAATTCTATTTCTAGAAATCGCCCTAAAGAAATATTTGCACATGAACACAAAGGCTGTACGCATGGACCTTCCTACAAAACCGTGGTTGGACAAACTGGACACGAGCTGTTTGTCCTCAGTAGGGATTGCATAAAGAGATACGTCCACCCTCATTGTGGAGGACTGGGAGCCACGACAGTAAGACAGGTGTCACCCAGTGACACAGAGAGAAGGCCAAAATGTGCAGACAGTACGAGCCCCTCTATTTTAAAACACACACCCGAACTACATATGTATTATACAGAGACAACATATGTGTGTGAGTGCACAGGAATGCATGTGAGAAGAGACACGCCAAACTAAATTGTGTGTAAATTGGGGTGCTCTCCAGGGAGAAAGAATGTATTGGTAAAAGGAGAGCTTCATACTTTGTCTGTTTACTTATATATTACGTGAATTTTTTTACCTGGCGAATTCCTCCATTTTTTACATCTGTGATTAAAGGATAAAATAAAATAAATTATAGAGAAAACAATGAAATGCTAATAATGGGACTAGGACTTTTTCTCCTTTTCATCTTCAATTTCTAAACTTTCTATAATGACTATGTATTATCTTTATAATAAAAAATGCACTAAATACTAATGTGTCCCCCCAAAATGTATACACACTTTGAATGATTATTAATTCCAATGGGTTAAATCTGAAAAGAAAGAAACATCAGTTGAGCGATCAGCTGTTAAAGTGTGGATACAGTTTTTAGGGACACCCTTTATGTTTATGATAGAATGGCAAGTAGGAAAGCAAGTTAAAATCATGGGTACAGCCCTCCCACAAGCTCAGCAACACACACACACACATTAAAAAGCAAACAAAAAGATGAAAAAGGGAGGAAACAGACCAAAAGGCTCTCTAAGCTGCTGGGTTAGGAGCTAGGGGATTTTGAGTGCTTTTTTTCCTTAGTTTCTCTGTTTTCCAAATTTCCCTTAATATGCTTATATTACTTTTTTAATATTACTTTTATAATGAAAAAATAAATTTAATAAAATCATAACGGGAGAATGTGCAGAGTGTGGCTGGGGCCTGGGGGAGGCTTACGGGCCCAATAACTCTTGGGTGTCTCTGGAAGGAGGAGGGAGAAGGGAAGAGAGGCAGGGGTGCCTGGCTGGTGGCAGGGGTGAGCCAGGGGAAGAACAAAGGCCCAGCCACAGTGGCCACCAGAGAAAACCCGTCAGCCAGGCACTCCCAGCTCTGTGACACTGCACCAGGATGTCCCCCTGGCACCCTATCCAAGACTGAGCTCATGACCTCCCTCCCCCTCCTCCTGTGGTTCCATCTCATGGGCAGTGCCCTGGGAGTCTTCCTCACCTCTTCCCACTCCTCACCCCTACATCCAATCTAGCAACCAGCCCTGTCTATTCTTCTCAACATAACTCAGATCTGTCTTCTTCTTTCAGTCCCCACCACCTTGCCAAGGTCCCACCATCCTCTCCTGCATACCTCTCCGTCACCATGCTTGTCCCCCACCAAGCCAGTTTCCACTGCAGTCTGACCCAGCTTTCTAACCCAAATCGGAGCCCTTCCCTCTCCTACTTAAAATCCTTCCATGGCTCCCCACTGCCTGAGGCTCCCCACTGCAGAGCATGGCTCTCAGGCCCCTCACAATCTGCTGCCCCTTCCTCTCTAGCCTCAGTAGAACCAGGACAAGCACAAGGATTAGCACATGGGCTCTGGAACCTCACTGCCTGCCTCTGCCTCTTCCTCCTGACTGTGAAACTGGGCCTCAGTTTCCTCATCTGTCGAATGGGGACATTAAAGTGAATGCACAAAACTGCTGGTTTTTGTAAGTCAAAAACAGTCCAGTGTTCAACCTAATACTAACAGTACCCACCTCACAGGACTGCTGGGAGTGGTAAAGTGAGTACCAGTGAACACACATCGGTGCTCAGCTGGAATTAGCTGCCATAGTATGATCATCATCACCATCATCTTCTGGCGCTCCCCACCCAGACTGTCCTACTCCTGCTTTCTACACATGCTCACTTTGCACATGCTGTTCCCTCAGGCTGCTCCATTCCCTAGTTAACTGCCAACCTTTCTTGCATATAGGCTCCTCCCGGGAAATCTCCACCCCCCACCGCCCGCCCCTCCAACCTGCCCCAGGTCTGGTCAGGGTTCCTCTCTGGATTAACCTCATGAGCCCCTGGTGGGCCCTCTTCCCTGTCGATTTAGTGGGATAGGTCCTCTCAGCAGGGTCAGAGGAAATCTGGTAGCTGTACCCATTCTGCTCTCACCCGGCCGGGCCACTCTCGCCACGCCCCTAGCCCCGCCCCCACCAGGCAGGTCTCCGCCCCTAGCCCCGTCCCCACCAGGCAGGTCTCCGCCTCTAGCCCCGCCCCCACTAGGCAGGTCTCCGCCCCGGCCCCGGCCATAGCCCCGCCCCCACCCGGCAGGCCTCCGCCCTAGCCCCGCCCCCACCCGGCAGGCCTCCGCCCTAGCCCCGCCCCCACCCGGCAGGTCTCCGCCCCGGCCCCGGCCCCGGCCCCGCCCTCGCGGTACCTGTGACCGTGCTGGTGGCCGGCCGCGCGTGCAGCGCCACGTCGGGCTGCGGCACGGACTGCGGGTGCAGCCCCGGCACCTGCTGCAGCTTGGGCAGCGACATGACCGCCTGGCTGCTCTCGGCGGGCGCCGGCGGCACGAGCAGCGGCTGCTGCGACGAGGCCGACGTGGGCGGCAGGTGAGGCGGTCGGATCTTCTCCGCCATCAGCTGCTCCTTGATCTTGTTAATCAGGACCAGGTTGTCCAGCTGCGGGACAGGAGAGGGACTGAAGGGGCTTGGCCAGCGCCCGGCCCGGTCCCTGGCCGACAGTCCACCCGCCAGCCCCTCGCCCCACAGCCAAAGCAGTAAGAGGGGAGGGTGGCCGCAGGGGGCGCTCCTCTTACCTGGCTGGGCATGGTGGGAGGAGGGGGCCAGAAGTAGGGGTTGTTAAATCGAGGCTCGGCCATCCTGCGGGGAGAGAGCGACTGTTACGGGAAGAGGGCCCTCCCCACCAGCTTGGGCCGAACTCAAGTCGGAGCCAGTGCGTGGGACCCTCACCCCGCAGCGGGGCAGGCCTCCTACCAGGGCCAGGGAACCGCAACCTCAGGCTCAAGTGTCGAATGCAGCGGCTCCCTCAGTGGACACAAGGGTCACATCCAGACCACAGTGCTGCCAGCCCCTCCTGAAACTGCAGGCCAATCCCCACCCCCAGAAGGAACCGGCAGAGCCAACCCCATGGACCCGTGGATTCTGCAATAAGCCGTCCCCCCCACCCCCCCTTCAAAGGCAAACAGGAGTCCTGGGGACTGTGTCAATGGCCACAGCAGAGGCAACGGGCCGTCCCTCATCCCTGCTCCTATGACCCATGGCCCCTCTAATGCAGACGCCCCCATCACAGCACAGGGCAAACTGAGTCAGCAGGTAAGTCTTTCTGAGAGGCAGCTTGGCGGGACGACTTACAAGGACCCAAATGGTTATTGACTTTGACCCAAGAAACTGTACCTCTGGAAAGTGACCTTTAAGATACAAGCATGGCTGTGGGCAGCCCTTTACCAGAAGGTGTCAGGTCAGTGCACAGGATGGGGCGGAGGGGGCCTGAGGTTCGCACCCTGGGGCTCTTCAGAAGTGACTATCTGTCTGGTGGCCCTGGCCTCCCAGTCCCATGGCAGGCCTGTGCGGTCAGAAGGCCTTTCAACCAGGGAAGTATGCGGGATGGGCCTTCAAAGCTAACAGTCTTCTTGTGGCCCTGGAGTAAGAAGTGCTGTATAGGGACCATGCTGGGCAGAGGGGTTCCATTGTCTTGCTTCCTACCCCATTTCTCTTATTTAACAGAAATTACTAACTAAATACCTAACTGATCTCATTGCTTAAATGAACTTATTTTGATAGGCAAGGCCAAAAGGAAGTGTCTTCAACCTCTTTTCCTGGTCCTTACAAGCCTGAGAAGCCCCTACTGGAGTTGCAGACAGAGGGTTTCAGGAGAAAACCCTCAAAAAGGTTAAATCTAATCTCAACCCTTTAAGAAAGATGTTGTATGTGAGTTATCTCTTGTGACTTTACGTAAGAAGAAGGCACAGAAGGTATTATAACCCCAAATTACAGGTGAGGAAACTGAGGCCTGGAGAGAAGGGAAGGGAGCTGCTCAAGACCACAGGGCTAGGGTGTCAGAGTCAAGACTAGAAATCAGATTTGCACAAGTTGGTTCCTCTTGTAATTTGCTTTGTAAACCCCAGTCTCAGTTGAGCAAATAGCCACATGCCAGTAACTCCATACCTGTATGCAAAACCCTGGCCTCTCACTTCCAGCCTCGGGCAGTCTGGGTGTGAGCCTGGCCAGCCTGGGCATCAGAACCGTCCTCTGGGGTGGCCAGGGCGGCCCCTGCCTAACAGCTCTCCTGCTCCCACCACCTGCAGATGCCAAGCTACCCTTCCCCCTACCCATCCCTCGCAGCCCCATACAAGCAGCACTTCCTGCCTGGAGTTCTCCCAGAATGCTCCAGGTGCCTGGGGGTTCTTTCTCAGAAAGACCTCAAAACAATAATAACAGCAAGGAGGCTGCCCTGGGCCAGGCACACTGACTCTGAAAAGCAGGTGCTCTCATCCCCCACATTTTACCACGGAGGAAACTGAAGTTCAAAAAGGTGGGATGACTTGGCCAAGGTCACACAGTAAGTAAGCAGAGAGCTCAGACTCCCACTCTAAACTGCCTGACTCTGAGGTCCAGCTCATCAGTCCCTTAGCTGTCCCGGCCCAGAGGTTATTAATAAAGTGAGTTGCATGACAGAATGAATAAATGAAGGCATGATCATCGGAATCATTTTAAAGACACACCCACACAACTATCTAGCGCTGCTGACAGTTTACCAAGCTCTTCTGTACCCACTGGCATTCTCATCAGAGCCCCGGGGAGCAGGGAAGAGGGTCCACCCCCATTTCCTAGAGGAAGAAGCCAGGGCACTAGGAGGGAAGCACTTTGCTCCAGGCCACGTGGATGGGGAAACGGGAACGAGCGCTGGGCTGCAATGGTGGGCATCGGCTCTCTGCGCATCAGTTTTCCTCGTCTGTAAAATGGGGTGAAACACCCCTGGCCCAGGACCCTGCCCATTGCACCCAGCTGTTCCTCAGGCAGTTCTGGGGGAAGCTGTCCTCTCCTCCTCGTCAATCCAATGCCGAGTTCAGGCTTTCCAAAGCCCAACCCTGGTCAGAAAGGATGTGGAAGAGGGTGGCTTGCTTAGGGTCCCATAGGTGCCACAAAGCATCTTCTCGGCCATTTACCAGGCCCCCGGCCAGACAGGGACCACCCCTCACCTTAGACGGGAAGCAGGCCCAGAGAGGGGAAGGCTCTGCCCTGCATCTTTAATCTGAGCTGCACAGCCTCTGCCTAATGTCTGCATCCTTCTCTGGCTGGTCTGAAATAATTGAATGATTCGGTTGATGACCTTGGTCCTGGTGTATCCCTACTGTGTGTCAGATGCAGGGAAGGCTGGCTGAGGTGGGGCGGGGGGAACACGTGCAAGTTTCTACTGAATGTCAGACACATCGCTAGGAGTACACCCAGAGCATCTAATGTGAGTCCCCCAGCAGGCCGGGCAGGGGGTGTCCACCTGTGCAACCCCGGGACCTGCATGGCAAGGGGGGAAAGGTGGCCAGGGCTGGGCTAAGCCCCTCAGACCTTGTTTTGAGGGAGGGCTTTAAGCAGGAGAGAGACTGGACAGATGTGTGTTTAGGACAGGTGGACAAGGCAGAGGGCATTCCTGGCAGAGGCACCAGCTTGAGCAGAGGTATGCCAGTCCAAGGCAGGTTTGGGACAGTGAGCAGGTACCCACTGGCATCAAAAGGAGAGTTGGAGAGTTGGGGGAGGGTGCTGAGAGCCAAAGGCCAGTTTGGCAGGGCCTTAATGCCACGCTAAGGTGTTGGGATGGATGCTGGTGGTAAGAAGGCATTAGGAAGTGTTCTGGGCCAGGGGGGCAATGAACCTAAGGGGTCAGAGGGAGAAGCCTGAGGACAGCGCTGGGGGCAGAGGGGACAGAGGCAGAGCAGACTGGGTGGGGCTGAGTGTCCCTGGCAGAACAGGAAGAGGAGACACGCTGGTGGTGGGGAAGGACACGTGGACTGGGCTTCAAGCCCCAGACAGAAGCCTGGACTCTGTACTGCATCCTGGGACAGATAGCACTGATCCTTGCAGTGGGGCTATCATTTGGGGGTTTTTGCCCTAAACAGTTGGATGGGTGGATGAATGAAACACCTTCCAGGGCTGCCTCTGAAAACAGCATCCTGATGGCAGCTGCCCATCCACCCACCCGTCCGTCCATCAGTACATCCATTCATCCTGAATGCACCTTACGGGCCAAACGGGGAGCCAGTGCCGGGGAACCTGAGGCACAGAAGAGCGCGGCCCCCCGGGAGCCCCAAGCTGAGTGGAGGCAGCAGACAAGTGGCCCAGGTTCCTGAGAAAAAGAACTTTTGCCTAAGAAACCTCCTACATGCCACCGAGAAACGTAGTCAACGCTGACAGGCCATCCTCCAGTCCTACCTGGCGTCCCTGCCACCGGGTCCTTTGGGAAGATCGGTGCGCGTGACCCCGGCTCCCTCATCTCAGTCTCTTTCACAGCAACCCCCACCCCCGCCGGGCGGCTTAGGGTAGCGCAGGTGATTCTTCTCTCCCACTGACCTCAGTACCTGGGTGGCCCACCTACTCTAGGGCTTTAAATGCCATCCAACCCCCACGTCTCCGCCTGCAGCCCTGGCCTCTTCCTAGAGCTCCAGACCCAACTTGCCGCTGCCTCCCTGACACATCCCTCTGGCTGTCTCCCAGCCTCTCAGACTCAGCAGGCCCAAGCCGGGCTTGGTCTTTCCCTCAATGGACACCTCCTCTAGCCATTCCCAACTCCAGGAGGGCCTCCCCAGCTGCCACATACATACATTGATCTACAACACTTCCCCTCTCTTCCCAGTTCAGATCCATCGCCAGCCACATCCTCAGCATTCTCACTTCCTTCCACAAGTCCTAGCTACACTCACCTCACCTGGACATGGGACAGCCTGCTTTGCTTGGAGCCCAGTGCACCCAGGTTCAAATCTTGGCTCAACTCACCAACTGTGTGATCTTGGGCAAGTCACTCGCTTCTGCCCCCCGAGTAAGGGAAGAGCAGCCCAGAGCCAGGGGTCTGACCCAGGATGGAAAGAAAGGATTAGGGAGGACTTCCCAGGGGCAGTGATGCTGGCTTTGGGTCTTAAAGGATGAGTGGGAGCTAGCCAGACACAGGAGTGGGGAACATTCCTGGCAGAAGGAGCAGCCTGAGCAAAGGCCCAGAGGTGAGCAGCAACACGGCCACAGCATGTGAGGGGCTAACGCATTCCGGTGTGGACTGGGAGACAGGACACGAGGCTGGAGCCATTGGCCGGGGCCAGACCCAGAAGGTCGATTCCTGAATCCTAGGCCTGGAGTCTGGACTTGAAGCAGTGGGTGATGGGACGGAATCTGTGGCTTAGAAAGACCCCTCTGACTGCTGAGTGTAGACAGGATTGGAGAGGCCAGAAGTGGAGGCAGGGAGAGAACACCCCTTAGGAGGCCCTTGGGAATGGAGGTGACAGGCAGGGGTCAAACCTGGGCCAGGCAGGAGAGTGAGCACGGAGGCCTGGCTGTTTGGTTGAGCTGGAGGCCAAGGAAGTATGTGCAGGCTGCCACCCATAGTGTGGCCTGGCAGGTTCCCTGGATAGCAACATGGACACACATGGCCACAGGAACATGCAGACAGACAGCACCAAAGTCAGACACACACGACAGACACAGACCTGTAGCCCCAAACATGGACAGAGGGGGAAACAGTAACTCCCATGAGCAGGAACCCACAGCCACCAGGACACAGGGTCATAGGAGGATGCTGTTCAAGTGGGCGCATGCATACGACCCTCGGTGCAGACCCAGAGGGACGCAGTGAGGGATGCTCAGGGGAGCTGGGATGAACACAGGGCTTAATCCCCCAAAGAACAAATCCCTCATTGACAGATTTCAACCTGGAATCACAGGCTGCTTACCTAGAGTGTCCTTTCCCACTTGGTGAACTTCTACTCATCCTTCAAGACCCAGCTCAAGTGTTCCCTCTTCTACGGAGCTTTCCCTGAACCCCCAGCCAGTCACTTCCTCTGTGTTCCCAACAGCACCTTGTATATGAGAATAACAATAACAATGATAAAATGGCAGCTACCATAATTTCCACACCTATTATGTGCCAGGCACTGTGCTGTGTCATATGCATCATGTCACTGAATCTTCCCAGTGACCCTGTGAAATGTACAGTTAACAAAAGAGGAAACAGCAGCTCAGAGAAGTTGACCAACTTGCCCAAAGTCACAGAGCTAGCAAGTGATGGCGTGAGCATGCCTCCCAGCACCACAGGGGCAGTCAGACCCTCGCGTGGTACCTGCCTCCCTGGGCGACTTCCCCACCAGGTTACGAGCCCTTCGAGCCAGGGAGGGCTGCTGCTGATTCACCTCTGCCATCCCCGCATCCAGCCCACGGTGGTCTCAGAAACTCTTTGTAGCATGAAAAAGGATAATAATATCGACTACCGTTTCTTGAGCACTTACAATAGGCCAGGAACTGTGTCAGGGCATTTTACAGCCATTATTTTCTTGTTGTAATAGACCCATTGTAAGGAAACTGCGGTCCAGAGAGGTTAAGCAACTTTTCTGAGGTCACAGAGCCCAGTCTGGTTTTAAAACCAGGTCTGTCTATCACCCTATCCTAGGAAGGAGGCCTCTGAGGCTTGCCTGGCAACCTGCACAAGGGGGAACTTAGGGTGGGGCACTGCGGAAGGGGTACACCAGGTGCCAGGCCCTGCTGCCCAGGTAGGTTGAGGCCTAAACAAACAGACACAAAGAGGACAGGCAGCCCAGGGTAGAATGCGGCTAGCCTTGCCCACTGCAGGGCAGGGGGATGCGGTTAAGCAACTTATGTCCCACCCCCATCCCCAGCCCATCCCACAGACATTAAAAAATGAGAACTGACCAGACCCCACGGCCACAAAGCAAATGGGAGGGAACAGGACCCAAAACTGTCCGGACACTATGATTACAAAGAGGCAAAAATAAAGACCTGCGTCAGAAAAAGCAAGCAGCAGGAGCCGCGCCCAGAGGGAGGCTGGGCGTGTCGGGGGGGAGGCGGCTGGAGACCATCTGACTTTGTGTCATTGTTTCTCTGATTTCCACATTCTCTGTAATATTGTTCGGTTGCTTTTATATTGAAAACAATAAATTTATTCTTTTAAAAATGAAAGAGAAAAAAAACAGAAAGAAAGAAAGAAAGAGAGAAAGAAAGAAAAAGAAAAGGAAGGTTGGGGGAGGGAGAACAGATGGAGGGTCTGGCGCATGGAGGAGCAGGGAGAGGTCAAGGTCAGCCAGGTGGACACTCAGTTGACAGTTACAAGCCAGGACCTGCGCAGCCCCAACGCTCCAGGTACATATGACCTGGGTAGGGGACAGCAAATGTCAGGAAGGCCACCTGACAGAGGCAAGAGTCAGTCTGCACTTTGAAACTGGTTAGGATTCCACCAGGTGGGGAAAGAGTGCCCCCACCCCCTTTCCTGCCGTGGTCCAGGCCCCCTTCAGCTACTGCGAGCGTTTCCTCAAGGTTTCCCCACCTCTGCCCACATTCCATTCTCAGTAGTCACTCTGATATTTCTAAAATGTAAAATATAAATCCGATCCCCTCAGAACCTCCCATGGCTCCCTACTTCCCTGCAGACAGGGTCTGGATTCCTTCGTCCTTACATATCCAGCCCCTGCTGACCTCTTCGGCCTCCCTGGCTGTTCTGCCTTACACTCTGCCCCTGCCGGGCCTGAGCATTCCCCAGTGTCCCACTTCCTTCACCTCCCAGCAGGCTGCCTCCTCCCCCTGGAGCCCTCTGCCCTCCCCAGCTCACTGGTTAACTACAACTTATTCCTCGGGCCCCAGATTATAGGCTATTTCCTCTTGAAAGCCTTCTGGGACCCTCCACCGCCCAGGCTGTGCTGGGTACCTCTCCTCTCTGCTCCCTTTCTGCCCTGCATTTCCATCATCAGACACTCATCACTGCGGTTTCTGCCTGTTTTCCCGTCTACCTCGGCTGCTGGGCAGGCTCTCTGTTAGAACAGTCACAGCTGAGCCATTTATGATCCCAGCCCCACACTGTACCTGACAAACGTCTGAATGAAGGAATGGTCTGGTGCAGGAACTGAAAGTGTCATGGTCTGGGTAGAGGAAAGTCCCTTCTCCCTCCTCGGGGTCCCTGCCACTCACCCTGGCACGATGTTGTCCTCTGTGTTAGACTGTTTCCTATTTCCTGTAGCTCAGCCCTGTCTTCCTAACTGATCTGAGAAGGGGTTGTATGCTATAAAGACCAGCAGACCAAAAGGGTGTTAACAGCTAATAACCACAGAAAATGGTTCTGCTTCCCTGGCAGTGAAAAGTAAATGAGCTTCACGTGTTAAATTAGCAAAAACATATGAGAAAATGGTCATACCCAATGCTGGCGAGCCTGTGGTGACACTGGCACTCCCACTGCTGCTGGGGTGCAAACGGGATCATTTTAAAGCCATCTGGCAATAGTGTGTCACAAGCTCTAAAACCTTTCAGACGTCCTGGCCTAGCAATCCCACTCCTGGTCATCTATCCCTAGAAAATCCCCCAAATTCAGATAAAGTTTTAGACACGAAGCTGTTCGCTTCGGTGGTTTCTTAGAACAGCAAAACCTGGAACATCCGAAATTTTAAACAAGAAGGGGATGGCTCTGTACATCATGTTAAACAGTGACAGGGTCTGCAGTCATTAACAGACAGCGTTTACTGGCGCTGTAATGACTTATTTAACACTCATATCAACCCGGAAAGGAACTGAGGCACAGACAGATCAGGTAACTTGCCCAACGTCAAACAGTCCGTGTCTGACAGGAACCTAGAAAGTTGGGCTCCAGAGCCCCTAATTTCCCCCGTTAGAAAGAAGGATTAAAACCACGCTGCAGTCATTCAGAAAATACCTGTGATACAAAATCTATACATAAAAACAAACAAACAAACAAAACAAAAAAACTAGGTGCGGAGAGAAAACAGGGAAGGAAACACAAAAATGCTAACAGCAGTGGTGTTCAGGCTAATCTGATTTCCCTACAGGATGGTTATGTGACTTTTATTTAAGGAGTATTTTTAATAAAAATAAAGGTTCAGCAAGCTTTGGCCAAGCAGATACCCCAAGCCGCCCACAGCCCCATGAGGATTCTGGCCCTCCTCTCTGGGGCTTTAGAGAGGACCAGGCCAAACAAAGGAAAGCCTGCCCCGGCCACTCACTCTCCTACTTAAATTGCCCCGCTGGTCCCATCACTTTGGGGCACAGCTCAAAACTCCCCAGCATAGCACCCAGGGGCCTTTGCTAGGGAGGCCCTGCTGGCCACATACATCCCAACAGGTACCTCCCCCTCTCCAGCCTCACTACCTGCAGGTTCCTCCAAAATTAGCTGCTCTCTTGCACCACTGGGCCTTTGCACAGGCTGTGCCCTTCCATCTGGGGTCATCACCAGCCGAAACCATGCCAGGTTCCCGTCAACCATTAAGTCAGCTCGGTGTCACTGCTGGGAAAACCTTCCTGATCGCCGCCCCTCTCCCCTGAGTTCCCACAGCTGCCTGGGCTTCCCCGTCCAAAGCCCTGACCCCATTGTCCTGGAACTGCCTGGTTACTTGTTTGCTCACGGAGCTGGGAGCTCCCCCAGGGGAGCTTGGGTCTGGCTCTTGGTTACAACCCCACACCCTCACTCGGCCCCACAGCTTACCAGGCTCCTCCTTAAAAGTCACTTTCTGACCTTCTCCCAACAGGAATCGGGCCACCCTGTTACGCACACCCACTGCCCCCTGCATTCTCCCCACCCCGCCTCTGTACCACATCTCTAAATACTCCCTCCAGGCCTGACCCACAAGGATGGAGCCACCACTGTAGGCCCAGAGTCAAGTGCTGGCCACACAGTAGGTGCTCAAGTGCCCAGTTCACAGTAGGTGCCTAATAAATGTTCACTGAGAGAATCAGTGAGAGGAAGGGGCCTGTCCACATGGGCCTGGAAGACTGAGAAGTTTGCCAGGAGAGTGAGGGTGGAGAGAGCCTCTGAGCAGAGGGGCAGCTTTTGAGGATGCAGAGGGTTCTCAAACACGCTACTGCTGCGGGTATGGTTGGGCCAGGGGGTGGGGCATTCCTGGGAAGAGGAGCCCATCTGAACGAAGATGTCATAAGATGGGACTTACTGATGGGGGGAAGGGAGATGCCAAGAAATGCCAGGGAAGGTAAGCCAGGAGGCAAAAACTGCATGTGCAAAGGCCCGGAGGCAGGGAGGCACACAGCACACATGTGGTCTGCTGTGGGGCCGTGCAGAAGTTCACAGGGGAAGGCGGGAAGGCGGCCAGGGCAGTCACGGAGGCCCAGAGTTCCAGGCTAAGAGCTTGGATGAAAGGCTGGGCGTGGGGCACAGGAGGTCCCTGAGCAGGAGAAGGCCATGGTCAAGGTTTTCAATGGAGAGGCCATTATGGGGCCGGAAGGATGGCCTGAGACGGACGAGCAGGAAATGGTCTAAGTTGAGTTTCCCCATTTTCCCAGCACCTTGAGACCCCCATGTGCTCAGAGGTTTCCTCCCCATGACCCCTCTGCCCTCCATGTACCCCACTCCCTACAGCCCTGAGCCCTGAGCCCCACTCCACCCAGGTCGGCCTCAGAAGCTCGCTCCTGGGAACTTCCTGTGAGGAACAGGCTCCCAAGGGTCCTGGATCCAATCAGGCTGGGTTTCCGCAGCCCTGCGGGGCGGGGGGGGGGGGGGGGGGGGGTGTTCCATTGTGGTGGTGGGGCTGACCGGAGCAGGGGGGCTGCTGTCTATGCCCTGGGCGATGGGAGCTGGAAAGCGAACCCCTCCCTGACCCCTCTCATCCACTGCCAACACCCAGAGCCCCCAGGGCAGTGCCCTCACTTAGGAAATGGGCCATGACTGCTCCTCTCGGGGCTGAGAGATGTGCTGCAGGCTGTGAACACGTCCTGCTCTGCTTCCATCCCCCTGGGGATCCCCATCTCCCATCCCCACAGGGGACTCCTCTGGCCACCATCAAATGACAGCAACAAAACAACAACAATAACAGTTACTAAGCATGTCTCCCAG